ACAGTTGATTGATGGGTTGGAAAAAATCAACTGTCTTTCAGACATTGGCACATAGCATTCTTTGGTTTGTATTTTAAACTTTTATCAAAGTTTGGGAATAATTGCCAATAGTAATTTGACCATGGCTGTATAAAAGATCACATCACTAAAAGTAAGATTTGTTTTTCTCCCCTCTTTAATTACAAATGACCTTTAAGAGTATTCCTTTAGTATCTCTATACCATTGATTAAATCTCATTATCAATCCCTTTCCCTGCCTTATTACTGCTCTTAGGTGTATGTCTTCTCTATACTTCACACTCTCTAGATAGAGATCTATGTGTATATGTGCATGTGTAACTTTAGGTGGAGAATGACATAATCCTTGGTTTATGAAATGCTTATCATGGGTCTACATGTGGCCCATTCTATTTATTTGTCTAGTTRGTTACTTAAAAATTTGACGTAAAAAGAATTTGACCTTCTCACCTAAAACAAAGGTGGTCCTTAGCAATAACTAGTATTTAGCCATATGGCCTCTTCTCAACCTTTCTATCTACCTCCCCCTACCTAGATAACCATTTTCCTTAATCGTATGTCTATTACTTTTTCTATATATAGTTTTTTTTATATAGTTTTGTCATGTTATATGTGTCTCTTAAAAGTATTTACATTTTAAACTTTATAATTTCTTTATTTTTATAATCTATGTTATCTACTGTATATAACGTTTTTGGACTTTTTGTATGTTAGACATATCTAGATATGATACTGTGAAATTTCTATTTGCACTTGTCCATTTCCTGGCTCCTAAGCCTTTGATATGTCTTAGGTGATAAATGCCTTTTGTATATTAATGAAATAATTGATATCTGGGGGCTCCTCAATAGCCTTGGATGGGGGCTGGCTGCCTCTCTCCCTTATCTCCAGAGAAGGCAGAGGGCTGAATGAATTGATCAGCAGTTACCAGTGATGTAATCAATTATGCTCCCATAATGAAGCTTCTATAAAAATCCCTGAACTGTAGGGTTTAARGAGCTTCTGGATCACTGAACATATGGAGTTACCTAAAGGGTAGTGGAGGTGCCTGGAGTGTGGTGTGCCTGAAGAGAGTATGGAACCTTTGTGCCCCTTCCCACATGCCTTACCCAATGTTTGTGTTCCATTTTTTGGTTTGTATTTTTTATAATATCCTTTATAATAACTGTAAGGAAAGTATTTCCCTGTGTTCTGTGAGATGCTCTAGCAAATTTTATCTAAACCTAGGAGGAGGGCATGAGAACCTTGATTTATAGCCTGTGGGTCAGAAGTACAGGTCACATCTGTAGCAGGGTGTAATTTAAAGGGATTGTCTTTAGCTTGAGGAATCTGCTGCCATCTTCAGGAAAATAGGATCAGAATTGAGTTGAATTAAAGGATACCCACCCAATGTCTGTTGCAGAACTGCTTGGTGTGTGTGGAAAACCTCCCACACATATGATCACAGCAGTGGTCTGTTATAAGAGTAGAGTAGGAGAAAAACTGTTGTTTTTTTAAATGTCTGATTAAGGTCTCCTAACTCTGATAATTTGTTGTGTATAATCTTTTGTGTTTTCTATGTAAACAAGTTTATCGTTCACAAATAATGCCAGTTTAATTCCTCCTTTGCAATCTTACTCTATTTTTTTTCCATTACACAGAGAGTTTTCCATAAAGTTTTCTAAAATTAAACCACCCTTACATACCTTGCACAARTTCAACTTGGTTGTGGAATAACATTTCTATTTATTTATTTATTTTATTTGTAGATGGACACAATATCTGTAATTTTTTATTTATTTATTTTTATGTGGTGCTGAGGATCAAACCCAGTTCCTCACATGTGCTAGTCAAGTGCGTTACCACTGAGGTACAACACCAGCCCTGGAGTAACATATTTTTGACTAAAAAATGGCTAAGATGGCTTTGCACCAATACCATACTTCTTAAAGATATTTGTTTAGGAAGTTTGCATCTATAGTCATGAGTAAGATGGACCTAGAATTTTCCCTTCATGTAACACTTTTGTCTAGTTTTGGTTTCATTGTTATTCTAGCTTGGGAGTTTTTCTTCTTTTTCTGTTGTCTGAAAGTTTGGATGATAACTRCCCTTGAAAGTTCAGAGTCTGTCAAGGTCTAGTTACAGAAAGAAAAACTGCATCAGGTATTATTATTGTTATTATTTTGTTCTTTTTATATTATACCTGACAGTAGAGTGGATTTTGACATATTGTACATACGTGGTATTATGAACAGAGGGTATTCAACAGTGAGAATTGATTACTGTCGTGAGGGGGCAAAATTTCAAYGTATGCAGTTGAAGGGAGAAATAAAGAATGTCCCTGCGCTTCTGCCCCTTTCAATGCTTTATTCACTCAAATTACTCAATACAATTTCACTCTATAGGTTCTTAATCAAGAAAATGACAATCCTTAATGCTAGGCACTGCAATAGACATAATCAATTCACAGCAAACAATTCTAGATTAATTAATTCACAGCAAACAATTCTAGATTAATTCTAAGTACTACAAAACACACTTAATCATGACAGGCTTATGACAGACATTCCCTCTATATGCTAAGTTCAAATGTCAGATCAAAAGTCTTAAGCCTTAGGCTTTATGTCCAGCAGATGCACACTCACTCAGACCTTGGTGATTAGGTCTGGAACCATGGYAGGCTTTTCCTGGCATGGAGTGGACGACCTGTTGAGGAAAGGGTCATAGGGAGAAGTTGCAGCTCTCACCAAGGTSCAGTTTGAGAGCCATGAGGATCATGCAAAGGCCCAGGACAAGTGATAGGATGACAGGTCCTCATCAGGCTCTCCAGCCTGAGTGCATCCTTGTTTCAGCTGGCTGAATCCCTGTTCATTTGCTCTATTATTTATACTAAATTTTGGGGCTTTTGACCCCCCCCCTTCAATCTTTATCAGCTAATGGTCTGGTGGTCTCCACCCTGATCTTCTCACCTTTCCCTCATCAGGCAAGGGCAGCCTGCCAGGGTGAGGGGAAGTAACTTGTTTGAGGCTATACTAGAGAGATCTGTGGGTATGCCTGGTAAGACTGTAGGTTTCAAACTGGAGTTTTTAAAATGGAGTTGCTTAGGCTCAGGCCTAAGGTCATCCTCACAGTTTACTTAGGTATTAGAATAATAAAATAACAAAAAAAAGTGTGCTAGAGTTAATAACTACAGGAAGCAGTTTTCACTACTAGGGCTGGGAGAACAAAAGTGAAGAGCTTATCGTGTTTCCAGAACCTAAGACTTTGGAGGAGGGCCTTGGGGGCTGATACTTAGACCTCTGGGGTAACTTTTGAGTAACTGCTGCTCAAATCCCTGAGGTTGGAAGCCTGGCCTGACAGGTGGTACTAGAGTCAGGTAGCACAATCCAGAGGATGAGTGAGCAGGGCAAGGCTAGTACTCTGACTGCCAAGTAGCCACGATCCACTGCTGTAGATATTGTAGACTTTTCTTGGGAATGTTGAAAGAAACTTGATGCGGTAATGAACTCTTATTGTGGGAATGACACTGATAAGATCTGGAAAAAGGAAAAGTCCCTTTTTAAAATCCTTTCTGCTTTCCCATTGGCAGAAATGAACAGAAGAGAGCTATCAAAGGAGTCTTAAGGGCTGGGGTTGTGGCTCAGAGGTAGAGAGCTTGCCTAGGATGTGTGAGACACTGGTTTCGATCCTCAGCATCACATAAAAATAAAATAAAGGTATTGTGTCCACCTACAACTTAAAAAAAAAAAAAGACAGTTTGAAATGAAGTTTGCCCTCATAGTTGCATTGTCACAGAGCAAAAAGGGGTGGATTTATTGCTAAGGGAAAATAAGTAAATAACAGACACTGAATATCATGTATATTTTATGAAGAGAAATCTGAATCTGAAAAAGATTAAATTATTTKCCAGGGATCACTGGAGTTATTAAATGGACAGGTCTGGAATTTAAACCTAGGCCTTTGCTGGTTCTACTACTATATTCCATCTGATCTAAGACATCATTGGTTGTTAGAAGCACCATTATTTTATGTATCTCTAGGAAAATAATGTCAATTAAAAAAGACATCAATTATAAGTTCCATACTTATAATTGAATTATGGTATATGATGTTGCCCTATAAAGAATTTGGTTTTGGGCTGGGGGTGTGGCTCAAGCAGTGGCACGCTTGCCTGGCATGCGTTTGGCTTGGATTCGATCCTCAGCACCACATACAAACAAAGAATGTTGTGTACTCCGAAAACTGAAAAATGAATATTAAGATTCTCTCTCTCTCTCTAAAAAAAAAAAAAAAAAAAAAAGAATTTGGTTTTGGCTGGATGCCATTGTGCATACCTTAATCCCACCAGCTAGGGAGGCTGAGGCACGAGGATCGTGAGTTCAAAGCCAGCCTCAGCATTTTAGTGAAGACCTGAGCAACTCGACGAGACTCTGTCTTTAAATAAARTACATAATGAGCTGAGGATCTTGCTCAATGGTTGAGTACCCCTGGGTTTAATCTTTGATACCCTTCCCCCCAAAAAAAGAGAATCTGGTTTTGGAATTGTTGATTTTGAGATGCCTGTGGATTACCCAGATCAAACATTTAGTGGACAGTTTAAAATGTAGTTATAGCTCATAAGAAAGATGGAAGCTAGAGATGTAGAGGTGAAAGTCATCTTCATGGCAGAGTCATGATTCAGAAACAGCTTCACTGTTTTTTATGTTAGTCTACTATTTATACTRTTTCTTTTCATTCTATTCTTTCCCTACCTTTTTATGATGGCATCTGTTGGTAAATCTGATATTGTTTTTTGTTATTCAGGACCACTTTTTTTTCCCCCTAAAATTTCCCAAGGAAAGATTTTCTTTTCTATTTAATGATTTAAAGTATGTGGTCTGCCAGTATAGACTCCACATAGATATAGTTGTTATGAGTATGGTAGTGAAAAGTGGGTTTCCAGAGGATATGGATAGTGTGAAGAAATCTCATCTATGCACTCTGATGGTTTCTCATTTTTATAGGTCTAGCATGTCTGGCTTGCACCTAGTAAAACAATGTCGAGACCGAAAGAAAGTAGACTCACAGCGAGATTTCACTGTGGCTTCTCCTGCAGAATTTGTTACTCGTTTTGGGGGGAATAAAGTGATTGAGAAGGTAAGTTATAACTTGCTAAATTCTTTTTGTCAAAGTACATGAGGGCTGTGCGTGGTGACATCTGTCTGTAATACCAGTGACTCAAGAGGCTGAGGATCACAAGTTCAAGGCCAGCCTCAACAACTTAGCAAGACCCTGTCTCAAAATTTAAAAAGGGGTAGGGATGTAGYTCAGTTGTAAAGTGCCCCTGGGCTGAATCCCCAGTAGCAAAAAAAAGGTACATGAGGGGCTGGGGTTATGCTTGCCTAACTTGTGTAAAGCCCTAGGTCGACCATCTTCAGCATAGAGGTGGGGGGAGTAAATGCAATTAATGCCTAGAATCAAAATTGATAGTTATATTTTTCAGGGACTTTACCACTTTTGTGGAATTGCCCTGCCTGGCGTCATTGTGTAATTTCACTATTTTCTGTAATATGTATTTACCACTGATAATTTAATCACAACTAATTGAGGAGATGACAGTGTTCATAAGGTTATTTTGAGGGGCTGCGGCTATAGTTCAGTGGTAGATTGCTTGCCTAACACGTGTTCCATCCTCAGCACCACAGAAAAATAAATAAATAAAGTATTATGTCCATCTACAACTAAAAAATATATTTAAAAAGTTATTTTTGAAAGGTCTTACAGTTTTGCAGGATGAGTCTGTACTGATMTGACAGGGTATGAGGAATTTATTAAGTTATGGAATGCAGCAGTGTTGGATATGGAGAGAGTTTCAGAACAGAAGACTTGGGCTGGGGATGTGGCTCAGGCGGTAGCGTACTTGCCTGGTATGCGTGCGGCCCCAGGTTCGATCCTCAGCACCACATACCAACAAAGATGTTGTGTCCGCTGAAAACTAAAAAATAAATATTAAAAAAAAAAAAAAAAAAAAGAACAGAAGACTTAAACAATTTAATAAACTGTGACTTGGCTTCCACCAAGTATTTGAGATGTTTAGAGGAGATATGTCATATGAAATATTTGAAGAGATTTCAGGTATTTTGAAATGTTGTGAGTAATTCTGTGTCACTTTTTTTGGGGGGGAGGGGTGCTACAAGAGATTAAAACCAGTGCCCTGTGCATGCTAGACAAGTGCTCCACCCTGAGTTACATCTCCARCCCTTTTTACTTTATTTTGAGTTATTGCCTCATGCTAATTTGCCTAGGCTGGCCTCAAACTTGCAATACATCTATCGTAGTTTCCCAAGCAGCTGGGATTATAGGCAAGTGCCTCACTGTACCCAGCCTATGTCACTGTCCCAGCCATGTCAGAGATGAATGGCTTAGTTGAAATAGTTTATAGTGATTAAAAGATTACAGGATAGGAACCTTGTATGTGTACTCCTAGAAGTATAGCTTCAGCTGTGTCCTTCTATTTCAATAAGCATGGATTATGTATCTATTAGCCTATATTATCCTTAGGGGCATGATTGCAACACAGGTAAGGAGATGAATGTTTTATTTACAGAAAAGTGTCAAGATCATTTGATTGTGACCATTCTTTCTGACACAGTCTCTACAATTCTAAGGAATTGGGATTCAGCATTTTGGAGAGAAGCAATTGATGTTAGGATTTTTATACATTTTCAGGGCTCTGTGTCCTGTTTTATTATAACAGGGAATAGTGCACGACACTGCACAGTTTTGTCTTCTCCCATTTCTTATTTGATAATGCATCATTTCTCTGAAGTTTGTTTTCCTCTATTGCCTAGTAATAGGTATGGGAGAATGATTCACAAACAGTGTATGAGTAATCATGACTTTGCTTTTTCTCCAAGAAAAGTTAAAGTGCAGTAAATTCTACCTTCACACATTGATATATTTGCTTAGCAAACATTTAAAAATATTGCTTGATCACGTGGGTTCTGGTTCCTAATAGTCTAGACTAGCAAGAATTTCAAGAATTTCTGGTTGAAATTCTGATTTTTTTTCCCCAGATAAAAATTTCCCATCTTTATTCCTCTGTCATTCCCTTTCTTTTCTGTATTTTCTTCCAAATCCCATTCTCCTCTCTCCTAGGTTCTTATTGCTAATAATGGCATTGCAGCAGTGAAATGCATGCGATCCATTCGCCGGTGGTCTTATGAAATGTTTCGAAATGAGCGTGCAATTCGATTTGTTGTCATGGTCACACCTGAAGACCTTAAAGCCAATGCAGGTGAGTCATTAGATTTACAAAAGTATCACCCTCAAACATTGAATAGCCCAGCCTTTCAGTAGGAAAATGCTAGTTTAGGAGTATCCCCATATTTAGGAGTTCCAGTAAAATCCTATTTAAAGAATTTCTCTTTAAAAAGTGTCAATAATAGCCATATAAGAGTGATTATAGGCTAACACAGAAGGATAAAGGAAATTGGAGTCACAGTTGGGGGCAGGGGAGCAAAGGGAGAGAAAATTATACTATAATTAACCATAGCACACATTCCTATATTCTAAGGTAAATAGTAAACATTTAGCACAGGAATTGATTCAGGCTTTCAGGTATATRTCTTTTTCAGTATTAAATATTTTCTGTGGCACATTCTTTAGTATGTGTAAGTAGAAAAGTTTGGAAGGAAATGCTATTTCCCTTATGAATTATATTGAATTCCAGAGAATTTTAGAGTAAAGTTCCTTTTTTCTTGTCCTTGTGAAAGAGAGAGGTCCTGGGATCCAAATGGTTTTCACTATGTAAATGCTTTTGTATACTCTGTCTTCTTAGATGGTCCTCTGAGAGCTGTAGGTAAAGTCTATTGGTATAACTGAGGTGTGGCTGGTCTTTCTCCTTCATATTTGTATCACTAAGGTGTAAATAATCTCTTAAGATAGAGTATCTACAGATAATTTTAGTTCTTTAAAGAGCTTTTCTTTTAAACCCATTTGGGTCTCTATATGTTGTTTCCATCTTGAGGTAATGATATTAAGACTGACTATTTCTAAGGATTAAAGGTTATTATGGCATCTATAAACAGTGAAGTCACTAATGTATTGGAAAGCATGTATTATTATGTAAAACCTTTTGGATGTACCTTTTAATATATCTGAACTATAATTTTTGTGCCTATAAAAGAAAGATCTTAATTTATTTTTCCTTGAGGAGTTTTAAGGATGAGATCATCTATAGAAAAATGTAAATTACCTTACATGGTTTCTTTTCCCCATCCATTTTACCTGCTACTCCTATTAATTCATTTATTCATTCACTCATGAACATGGAGACCAGACCCATATTTGAATAAGATGTGGTCTTGTTCTAGGAAACAAATAACTTCAACACAATGAAGTAAGCACTACAGTGGAAACATACAGAGGGTACTATGAGAACACAGAAATGAGACATTTAACACTTGGGGGCAGGGTAAACAGAAAGTTTTCTTTCTCTCTCTCTCTCTTKTTTTTTTGGCACTAGGGATTGAACCTCTGAGCCATGTCTTCAGCCCCTTTTATGTTTTATTTAGAGACAAAGTCTTGCTGAGTTGCTTAGGGGCTAGCTAAACTGCTGAGGCTGGCTTTGAACTCATCAGCCACTGGGATTGCAGGCGTGTTCTACCACAACTAGCAATACGAAACTTTCTGGAAGCGATTATGCCTAGCCAAGAATAAATAATTTAAAAAGTCAATAAAGCAGTTAGGGGAGTGTGAAGGGTATGCCAGGCAGAAAAAACAACATCTGCAAATGCATAAGGGTCAACACAAGCGACCTTTTGAAAAATTATAGGTAGCTTATTAAAGTAAAAAATAAAATATAGTAATTTAATTAAAATAGTAATAAAATAGTAACAAGGAGAGCCTTGTTTCCTATCCTCAGAGGTCAGACTTTCTCTTTTTTTGGAAGGTATGTGTAATGTGATTGTGTATAGTGTGAGTGTGTGTTGGACCTAAAGGATTTGCATTTAAAATTTTTTTTTTTTTTTTGGCAGTACTGGAAATTTGTTCATGCTAGGCCAGTTAGGAAAGTGCTTCACCACTGAGCTACACTCTTTGCCCAAGCTTTTTTTGTTTTGTTTTGTCTTTAACTATACCAAAGTAGAAGAATATAATGAATCCCTTCTCTTATACTTATTTTCCAATATGAAGGAAAATTGAAAGGAAATACTATTTCCCTTATGAATTATATTTAATTCTAGAGAATTTTAGAGTAAAGTCAAGTCATGACTGCTCTAGTTTCATCTATATTCTCACCCCTGCTACTCATTTACCCAATTATTTTTTAAAAATATGGGKTTTTTTTKGTTTTAGTTGTAGATGGACACAATACCTTTATTTTATTTATTTTTATGTGGTGCTGAGGATCAAACCCAGTACCTTGCAGGCACAAGGCAAGCGCTTCACCACTGAGCCAAACCCCAGCCCATTTTCCCAATTATTTTGAAGCAAATTCTAGATATCATGTTATTTCAGTATGTACCTCTAAAACGTTCTTTTAAAAATTTGGATAATTCCATTAGCATCTTTAAAGATCTATTTGAGGAAGATAATAATAAAGGAAAAGTCATTGTTTTTTTGTTTTTTTTAAAGAGAGAGAGAGAATTTTTTTAATATTTATTTTTTAGTTTTCGGCAGATACAACATCTTTGTTTTTGTATGTGGTACTGAGGATCGAACCTGGGCCGCACGATGCCAGGCGAATGAGCTACCACTTGAGCCACATCCCCAGCCCCGAAATTTTTAATATTTATTTTTTAGTTTTCGGCGGACACAACATCTTTGTTTGTATGTGGTTCTGAGGATCGAACCTGGGCGGCACGCATGCCGGGCGAGCGCGCTACCGCTTGAGCCACATCCCCAGCAAAAAGTCATTGTTGATCATTGGGTTTGTAATTTAGTTGACTAGGCAGATGCTCATACCACCAACTAAAATACGTTATATAGCTAGAAGAGCATTTGTGTGTGTGTGTGTGTGTGTGTGTGTGTGTGTGTGTATGGTGATATGTATTTAGTGTGGAGTACCTGTGGCTTTGGCAAAATTCTATTAATCCTATAAAAAGTTGGCTATATCCTAGAATTAAGAAACAATGAGAGCTAAAGGTTAAGATGTGTTTATTATTGGCAAATATGTGGCATAGTTAACAATACTTTCCAAAAGAAGAGATAAAGAGGGCMAAGAATGAGAATTTATGGAAGACTAAAAATTAGGGATAAACTAAGGTAAATAGGCTTATAAATAAAGCTGAGAAATGATCAAAGATATTGGAAAAGAAACAGAGAAACACAGAGAAAAGAAATTTCCATATGGAAGTATTAAATGTGTCAACAGTCCAAAATTAGGACCAGAAACCATGCAGCAATTAATAAATTATTAATTACTTTTGCAAGAATAATTTCAGAGTAATAATATAAGAGTATGCAGACTAATATAGGATGTTAAGGAATGTCAGAAGTAATATGGAGATAATTGGTATGGACTATTTTTATTTTTTTAAAGAATTTTGTATGAGGGAGCAAAAGAAAAGGCAGTAACTAAAACAAAATTCAGGGTAAAGTGAGGTTTTTTWAAAATTTTCAGAATGAAAGAAATTTGGGGATATTTTCATTCTGAGAAGAGAATTAAAGTATGAGAGACCTGAAGTACATTACAGACCTCTAAGAAAAGGAATGGGAAAGGATCAAGGGCACAAGTGGACAATTATATGCATTTCTTTTGATCAACAAATTCTACTAGTATTCTCAGGGGGAAGAAATCAGTAGTGAGGGCAAATACATTTGTACAAGGATATCATATATTCATTGCTCGTTATTTTAAATAGTGAGAAACTGAATTAATTGTTAAATATTAGCAAATTAGTTAAAGGTATTAAACCAATTAGTTAATTAAAATTTTCCATCCCAATTCTGTGAAATACCATGTAGTCATTAAAAAACATTAAGTGAAGTTAGCCAATCCCAAAAAATCAAATGCCGAATGTTTTCTCTGATATAAGGAGGCTGACTCATAGTGGGGTAGGGAGGGGGAGCATGGGAGGAATAGATGAATACTAGATAGGGCAGAGGGGTGGGAGGGATAGGGAGGGGGCAGGGGATTAGCAAGGATGGTGGAATGTGGATAGACATCATTATCCAAAGTACATGTATGAAGACACAAATTGGTGTCAACATACTTTATATACAGCCAGAGATATGAAAAATTGTGCTGTATAAGTGTAATAAGAATTGTAATGCATTCTGCAGTCATTTATTTTTTTTTAAAACCCCAAAATTTTTTGAATGACATTTATTAGTATAAGACTATTTGGATAAATTGCTATATCATAGTGGCGCATGCCTGTAATCCCAGCGACTCTCAAGGCTGAAACAGAATTGTGGATTCAAAGCTAGCCTCAGCAATAGTAAAGTGCCAAGCAACTCAGTGAGACCCTGTCTCTAAATAAAATACAAAATAGGGCTGGGAATGTGGCTCAGTGGTTGAATTTCCTTGAGTTCAATCCCCAGTACCCCCCAAAATAAAATTAAAAAATTGCTATATTATTATTATATAATAGTAATATCACAAATTTAGCAGCTGAAAACAATTGACATTTAGTATCTCATAGTTTGTATAAGTCCGAGTATGAGTCTGCATCTGTGGATCCAATAGGATGCAGATAAAACATTTCAGAGGGCTGTTTCAAGTACTCACAAGATTTTAGTCGGTTGTCAGCTGGGGTTAAGGTCTCATCTGAGGCCGAATTTGGAATGAATGTAGCTTCCYCCTCACGTGGTTGTTGTCAACATTCAGTTCTTTTGTTAGCTSTCATGCTGAGGGCTTGAATGTCTGATTGTTGACTATAGTCCATTCTTGGCTCCCTGTCACATAGACCATCCCAGAATGACTTCTCACTTCCTCAAAGTCAGCAAGGGAGAGGATCTCCTAGTAAGATGGGTTATATTCTTATGTAATGTTCTCATGGAAGTGATAACTCATCACCTGAATCCATATATTCTTGCCCAGAAGCAAGTCATAGATTCTTTCTGTGCCCAAGGGGAAGAGGTACATAAGCAAAAATCCGGGGGGTTGAGATCATGATAACTCCTTAGTATCTGTYTACCATGTTTGCTAAGGAAAATGTTTCCTGTAAAAGGAAATTGATAGCATGATATAATAGGAAAAAATACATTGTATATAGTCATAGAAAAAGGGTATAACAATATATACCAAAGCAATAATAGTCTTTTTCTCTAAAGGTAGAATTTTGAAGTTTTTATTTCTTTATTTTTTTTGCTTTTTCCAACATTGTAACATGGAGTGTATTCTTTTTATACTTTTAAAAGGTTATTTAAAAACAAAATGCTAGAAAGGACTGGTATTAAAGAAGGAGTTAGTATTATGGGTGATTTTTTCCTTTTCCCCCTGACCTTTCTATTATGTTAATCATTGTTTAACAGCTTCAATGAGTATAAGTTAGTGTTATTAGGTATGTGAGTTTTAACATATTTATACCATTGTGCAGTCGTTGCTATAATCCAGTTTAAGATACAAATTACTTTTATGATTTAAAAAATTGTAAAAGGGAACTATAGATAGAAGAGAGGACTTCATCCTCTGAGACTGGATGGGAACAGGCAAAATTCACAGGTTAAGGATGGTAATACTTAACCCATTTGCATAGTTTAATTTCATGATAATTACTGGAAAAGATAGAAAGATGAATGATTAATGAAAACCATAGTAAGGAATTGAGTTTAGTCATCCCTCAGGTATGTARGGGATTGGTGCCACATCCCTCTGCTAATTCCAAAGACTTCAGATACTGAAGTCCCTCATATAAAATAATATTTGCTTATGACCTAACCACATCCTCCCCTATATCTAGATTACCAATAACACCTAATACAGTGTAAATACTACGTAAATAGTTGTTATATTAATATCATTTAGGAATTAATGATAGGGAACAAAGTTTCTACTTTTCAGTACAGATGCAATTTTTCTTTTTCGCCAAAATGTTTTTATTTTCTTTTCGGTACTAGAATTGAGCCCAAGGATACTCTACCACTGAGCTACATTCCCAGCCCTCCAAAATGTTTTATCTGCAGCCTATTGTGGATCCACAGATGCAGAACCTGCAGATATGGAGTGCCCACTATGGTCTCTTTGGGGGATAGTTTTTAATTATTTGTGAATATATTCTAGGATAACACCTGTGATTGTAGTTGTGGGGATGAGTAGACGATAGAGAGATACAGGTTATATAATTAGTATGAGCTTTCTTTTTCTATCTCCATAACCTTTTTTTCCTTAGTGTAAGACAGTAAGAAGTTTATTGGTGTAGAACTCTGAACTTTTGTTAGTTGGCAGCAACAATACCTTTGCAGATTGTGTGTATKTGTGTAAAGGATATAGGTCAGCAATGTTTTTCTCTATCTAGGACTCTTGAAGTACAGAAAAGACTAAAAAATAGTGGAAAAGTTGGATAGATTTGTCTACCTTATTTAGTATTTAGCAAATTAAGAAAAAATTGAAGACAAATTATAATCTGGAAAAACAYTGGCAACAATGTAAGAAAAAGTTACTTTTCAATAGAAAATGAGCAAAAAACATGAACAGGTAGTCCATAAAAGAAAAAATAAGCCAGGTGCAGTAGTGTGTGCTTATAGTCCCAGCTACTTGGGATGCAGAGGTATGAGGATTACTTGAGCCCAGGAATTCAGGGCCAGCCTAGGCAACATAGCAAAACCATGTTTAAAAAAAAAAAAAAAAAAAAAAGGAAGATTAAGGAAAAAGCAACAAACATGTAAAAAAGAGAGATTCAGAATCAGTGGTAACCAAATAAAGCAAATCAAAACAGTGGTATGTAGAGGTGTTTTGTTTTTTTTTTTAAACTGCTAAAATTAAAAAGATTTTTCATAATATAGGTGGGGCAAATTGGCACCCATATTACTAGCAAAAATCGAAAAATGTGAATAACCTTTGACTTAATAGTTTTACTTCTAGGAAATATCCTGAGGGCACAACTAGATAGCAGTATAAGGATATACATTATTTTAACATTTTTTCAAATTTCTAATAACCTATATTTTATCAATAATTTAGTATGTAAATGAATGATGGACTGTTCAAATATTAATCATTAAAATATTAAATATTCAATATATGTAMACATATAATTACATATATCTCTATGTCATTATGTGGATTGATATCACAACATATTGTTAAATTGGCTAACTGTGTACATGTATAACAGAATATGAACTGGTTGTTTCTGAGATGAGATAAAGGGTGGTTTTGATTTTTAAAAATATGTTATTATATCCTGACATTATCTAAATTTTTAAGTAAATTTCCTGCTTCTTTTTCTATAATGAAAAAAGAATGAACTTATTTTAATTTTATGCAATCTATAAGACCCTATATCTTAATTTTAGTGGAATGTTGTTTTTAGTTGAATTTTTATAGAAGAAATTAAATTATTTTAATGTTAAGAACAAGATATAAGGAATGTTAATAAATATGGTAAAGATGAACTTTAAACAATTACTTAACAATTCCGAGCCAGAATTTCCTGTAAGGTGGGGTGCTAAAAATACTTACATATAGGATTGCTGAGAGAATTTGTATATAAAGGGCTTAATATTGTTCCTGGAAATGGTAGTTGCTCTGCTATAGTTTTTTTGCCAGTATCGGAATAGAGAGATGTTAGGGAACAAAACTAAAGAAAAATTTCTTTCAAATACTCACTGCCTCCAAATTCCAGATAAACCATTTTCAGGCACTAATCAGATTCCTCTAACTAACTTTCCCTGTTTAGTTGATTAGCAAACCTTTCAAGTTCTATTCTCTTCCCATTCTGTACAGTAAGTACTACACTAGGGGAAGGACTTTCTTGTGGTACCATGCAAGTTGAAGGACTAGAACTATTTCTTAGAATAGAGTAATTTTACATGGGACACTGACCGATTCAACCTTGATACAGAGCTTACAAAAACCCTCTAAAGTGAAATGTTTGAGAACTGCTGTTTGTTTTTTTTTTTTTTGTTTTTTTTTTTTTGTTTTTTTTTTTTAGAGAGAGAGAGAGAGAATTTTTTTAACATTTATTTTTTTAGTTTTCAGTTGACACAACATCTTTGTTTGTATGTGGTGCTGAGGATTGAACCCGGGCCGTACGCGTGCCAGGCGAGCGCGCTACCGCTTGAGCCACATCCCCAGCCCCAAGAACTGCTGTTTTGAGTATGAGAGATTCCTAAGTGTATGACAAACTCAGAGCCTCCAATTAAATTGTCCCATTAATGCTGTTTGTTCTATGGTTACTTATGATAGTCCCTGTCCTTTACACAGTTTTGCTATACCATTACATTTTTTTAAAACAAATTATGTATTTTGTATTTATTTGTTTACATTTTCAGAATACATTAAGATGGCGGATCACTATGTACCAGTGCCTGGAGGACCAAACAACAACAACTATGCAAATGTGGAATTAATTCTTGATATTGCCAAAAGGATCCCGGTACAAGTAAGAGAGTCTTTTAAAAGCAAATTTCTTTTATAATAAAAAACTTTTTTAAGAACTTTTTTTTACATATATACCAGGGATTGAACCCAGGGGTACTTAAATCATTGAGCTACATCCCCAGCCCTTTTTATTTTTTGAGATGGGGTCTTGCTAAGTTGTGTAGGACCTCACTAAGTTACTGAGACTGGGCTCAAACTTGCAATTCTCCTGCTTCAGCCTCCCAAGTCACTGGGGTTATAGGCATGTACTACCAATGTGTGGCACTTTTATAAGAAAAAAATTAAAAAAAAATTTTTTAGGTGTAGATGATACAATACCTTTTATTATTTTATTTATTTTTTACATGGTGTTAAGGATCAAACCTAGTGCCTCAGCCATGCGAGGCAAGCTCTATACCACTGAGCTACCATCTCAGCTCATTAGAACTTTTAAAGAATTTTTTTATACAAAGAACTTTTTTTTTTTTGGTAGTTGTAGATGGACAGTATGCGTTGAGGAACTTTTATATAAAGCATCTTTTTTGAAAATTCTTATGTACTTTGATATGGAATAACTAAAACAGACAAGGAGAGATGGAAAGAAGGGAATGTTTAAAAATAAACATAATACAAATAGAAAGTTTGCAAGGGTCTTTCAGAGACTTTGTTATTCTATACATCTCACCTTCAAGTCATCCCAAGTAAGTACAAGTTAGCTAAGAATATCCTATGCATTATGCTCAGCCTAGATTATGATGGTGTTTTAGAAGAAGATTGTTTCTACCTTATCATGTTGTGTTAGGAAATTTAGGGTAAATACCTGAATGCCCATTGAGGAAAAAAATCTAGGCTTATATGGAACAAAGATGGAATTGGGGTGGCCAAGGTAATTGAATATTTGAAATTGGTCATTATTTTTAGAAAAGGTTCTATAGAGCCTAGCTGAAAGGCTATGAATTGAGTTTCCTAAAGACCAACAAGACTAATTGGATTGTAATATCAATTTTAACTTGTTTTTTACCTCTTCAGAGGTTTTGTTACAATGGACTGCTTATTGTTGTTGTGTAAAAAGTTTGCCAACAATCAAGCATAGAACCTGAATTAAGCATAAGTCTGCTATAAAGCTATTGTAGTTTTTGCAATAGAGCTAGTCTTAATAGAGAATAATGTAGTTTGTGGTTTTTGTTGTTATTGTTCTTTGTTTGTTTGGTATGAATTTTAAGAATGAATCATGTTGTSTTTTCTTGTAGGCAGTATGGGCTGGCTGGGGTCATGCTTCTGAGAACCCCAAGCTCCCGGAGCTTCTCTTAAAAAATGGCATCGCCTTCATGGGTAACCCTTTGTGATGTACTACTGTTCCTGTCTTCCTGTTTCCTTTTATTAATTTTGTCCATATTTTACTCTTATTTTCTTCTGTTTGACATGTACTCAGCCCTTTTGTTTTTTATTCAATCAGTGATGTTAAGAATAACCCTTTTTATTTCTTTATTCCCCATTCTTTAGTTTTTACACCCTGCTTGGCTCATTTCATCCCGTTTGTGTTTTCTGTCCCTGAGTTCTTTTCCTTGAGGTATGAAAAAGACTGTGCTTTCCAAAGCACATTTTTAAAAAGTTCCCACTAACCTTAGAAAAACATGTGAAGGGAAGGACTCATTTTTGAATAGTGAAGAATGTGTGCCCTTAAATATGAATCAACACCTTTTCATTTAAGAATATAGACTATATTCCTRTGGATAAGAAGCATTTTCTTCCAGGAGAGGTTTTATGGCTCAAATAGTTTCTCTCAAGAGAATTTTCATAATACTGAATATGCTTTGTAAACATTATTGCAGATAGATCTCTACTTTGGGTTCACCTAAGACCAAAGATACTATAATGTATCAGATTTGAACCCCAAAACTTTACCATCTTTATTTTAGGATATAGGTTAATATTTTTTCTTTTCTTTCTTTTTTTTTTTTGTTTTTTTGTTAATCAGTAAAGATGAATCATAAAAGATGATAAATTTGGTTTATTAGGAATTTAATCCAGCATATATTTGTGTATATTGAGCTCTCACTGTGTGCAAAAAGCTTACTTATATTAAATTCTCTAGAGGGTACAAACATGAGTCAAAAACATAGCATAATCAAATTTATGATCTCCATGACATGTAATGGGGATAGGGACAAGACAAATACAAAAATAATTAAAATACTGGGCAAAATACATGTGCTATAAAAATGAGTCAAAAATGTTACATTTTTTTGTTTTGTTTTTAGGTCCTCCAAGCCAGGCCATGTGGGCTTTGGGGGATAAGATTGCATCTTCCATAGTGGCTCAAACTGCAGGTATCCCAACTCTTCCCTGGAGTGGCAGTGGTAAGAAATTGTTTCTTGGTTGCATTTTTGAAGTGCAGAAAAGCTTAGTAGATTATTTGGGACAATAGCAGGGGGCTTAGTTTGTTTAAAGTATATTGGGGTTCTTGATAAGAAATATCTTGATACCGCCTAGCTTAATTCATCTGTCATGTCTTAGAAATTTAAACTTAGACGAGGTGCACAGATGATAAATTGGTCTAGAATGATCTTGAGACTTAATTTGAAGAAACTATGGGAAACACATGTTCTGGGGGTTCAAATCTATTCAGGGTAGGTTAGAATCTTCCTTAGAGGCTGGCTTCTTAAGTGTAATTATACTTTTGGACCATGTGGGCGGTGGCCTGGGTCCCCAGGAAAAACCTAAAGCTCTCTTACTCAATGTTTACTTATCAGTTCTTTTCTGATGTCAGCCCATAATCTATGGATGATTTGCTTTGCAAAATACCATTCAACCTCAGTTGCCCTTGATGCAGAAAATGAGGTCAATAGTTAACCTTTCTTTCACGCATGTARAGAAAGAAAATTTTTTAAAAAATTATTCTTGACAAATCCCATAAAGAGTGTCATGTAAACTATTACAGCTGATGACAAAACGAACTTCCCTTTTTTTAGTACTCACCCTCTGGGAGCAGACATACATTAAAACCTCTTTTAAATTGGAATGACCATTGTCTTGAGGCCAGGAGATTTGAACCCTTGTTATTCTGGCTCTCCAGGGRGATTGCCATATCCTCTCCAGACCTGCTAGGTCAAATAGTTTAAAATAAAAGCTTGAATTTGTTCTTGTTTGAATGGAGAGTCTATAGTGTTCCCCTTGTGGCTAAGTACAGGAACATTCAGGGAGCATGAAATCATGACTCTGCTGAGGCCAATAAAACCGCCATTTCCATTTCTAAGGGCTCATAAAGATTGAATTATTTCTCAGACCTCTGGCCCTAGAGCAGGCCTGAACACACAGATTGAAGGTATTGCCAGGTTGCTGTGAAAAGTCTGTTATGCTTTTTTGTTGTTGCATTTTTATAAGTTGGTCCCCTTTAGCTCTCCTGGTTTCTTCCAGCATAAGAACCCAAATTGCCACCTCATGCTGTGGATACATACTGTTACCTACACGGACTGATCACAGTGTTATGTCCTTTTTTTTTTTCTCACATCTGTTTTCAATTTAGGATAAATATCATAGCATTTAAAGAATATGTAGCAGAAAACTGACATGAATTCTTATAGTTACTCTCTCAAGTCACTTGTCTATTGCAGGTCTTCGTGTGGACTGGCAGGAAAATGATTTTTCAAAACGTATCTTAAATGTTCCACAGGAACTGTATGAAAAAGGTTATGTGAAGGATGTGGATGATGGGCTGAAGGTGGGTTCCTRACTCCAGGGATTGATGCCTTTCAACTGATTGATTATAGTCACAAATATGGTTCATGGTGTGTATMCTTGGTGGTATGAGGGTTGTAAGACCAGGCTGTATAGTTTATAAAGTGTAGAGTGAGGAAATGACTTTAAATTTAAATTAGTTTTAAGCATGCTATTCATTTGGACAGAACATTGCTTAGGCAATTAAATTGGTATTTTAAGGAAGTACTGTTTCTTCCTCATTCTACCACCTGTTAGATGTGAGGGGAATCAGCAAGCCACATACTTCTTTTCTTCTTGAGTTCAGAACCAAGATAAAGTTTAGATGGCTAAGTCAGGTCAAAGTTTCAACTGTGTTACAATACACTTGATAAAAATGACTTCAGTGTGTAACAGCAATGAGATTTACAAACTGAATGCCAAATTTTACGAGGTTTACTGCCTCACTGGTAACTYGCAGTGCTGAATAACCTCAGGCTTCCTTCTATAGAGATGCCATTTTTATCATTTAGATTATTATATGGCTGAGAGCCGAACAAAAGCATATATTTGTGCAGTGGAGTTATCTCAAAAGGGAAGAGACTGAGCAGTGCATATTTAGTTCTCCTTCTAAATTGACCAGTCACGTAATTTATGCTTTTTCCCTTGGGAAGGAGTGAGGGAGGGAGCCAAGAGAGGCTGTAAGTATTATTCTATTATCCTTTCACATAGAAAGGTGAACCCAGGCAAAAGGAGAGAGATCCTTTCTCCAACCTTCCAACTCCTCCTCCTCCTCCTCCTCCTCCTCGTGGTATATGGACAGCATGCCTTTATTTTATTTGTTTATTTTATGTGGCACTAAGGATTGAACCCAGTACCTCCCACATGCTAGGCAAGTGCTCTGCCACTGAGCTTTAGCCCCAGACCTATAAGCAGAAATTTCTGGTAGAAAATTTGGAAAGCCAGAGATGATAATAAAACTACCCATGAAGCTACCATTCAAAGATAATACCTATTAACATAATCATGTAATATCCATGTATTTTCTTCCAGTTTTTTGGTTAATTCATATATTTATATAATCTTTATTAATAAATTCCAATAATTAAAAAATTAGGGTCTTACAATATATATTGTTTGGTAATTCTGGTACTTTTTTCTATTTAATTTTATATATAAACATTTCCCCCATAGCATTAAAATTCTAAAATTCTGTGTATGTACACACACACACACTGTGTTATTAAATCAGGGGTATTTTACCACTGAGCATCATCCTGGGCACTTTTTATTTTGAGGCAGGGTTTCTTGCTAAGTTGTTTATGGTTTTGCTTAGTTGCTGAGGCTGACTTTGAATTTGCAATCCTTCTGCCTCAGGCTCTGGAGATGCTGAAATTATAGCATGTGCCACCATACCCAACAAAATTATTATTATTTTGATATTGAGGATTGAACCTAGGAATGCTTTACCCAGCTCTTTTTTTAATGTTTTATTTAGAGACAGGGTCTTGCTAAGTTGCTTATGGTCTCACTAAATTGCTGAGGCTGGCCTTGAACTTGTGATCCTCCTGTCTCAGCCTCCCAAGCCACTGTGATTAGGGGCATGCGCCACTGCACCCAGCCTTGCCCAGCAAGATTCTAAAATATTTTTAAAGGGTGAACTGTGGCTAGAACTTTCTTATATTTTTAACAGGCCTATCTTCTTATTGACTTCCTGTGGGATACCCTCTTCCCTTTCTAATGTCTTTTTAACATTTGTGCTATTTCGTTGATCACCTATCATTGAGTGATTTGAGTTAATCCCACTAATTCTCTTTATATCAGCATAGGAAAGAATAGAGTTAATTAAACTTTGGAAGAGATGGGTTTTTATCTCTAATCTGACACAAAATTTAAAATGTTTTTTTTTCTGATGATACAGTTTAGAGATATAATTTACATTATCTTCATAATGTAGCAAAACCTTAAAAGCCAAGAATAATTTTACAAAGGAATGACTTAGTTATATAAGGATTTTGGTTAACTTTCCCCCAATTTATTTTTTGCCTAAACAGTACAATTCAGTTATCTTCTATATCATTACATATAAAAGTAACCTCATTCCTTCTGATAATTACATAGTATTCTACATAATGTATGATATATCTAGTTTTAACTATTTCCTTATTTGATGGATAGATAATTTACTTTTCAAAAAATTTTTGAACTGTCACCTGATCAGCCTACTATAAATGTGAAAAGCACATTTAGAGCATGTGTTGAAAAATTAGTTTTCTAATTTTATTATTTTGAGTTCTTGTTATTTACATTTTATAAAAAGTTGTATGAGAAAAAGCTTTTGAATACTTGAGAGTTCTTAGTTTTTTTAAAATGTGTGGTTAGAAGCTATGCTGAGACATCAACTTATATTAAATACTTAAAAAAAAATTATGGGTAATGTGTAAATACCTGCATACTATAAGGAAGGTACTCCAACAATATATTTGATACAAATTCATTTCTACCCATCTTCCATTTATAGAATTCTATSTATTCTAGAATTCATTTATTTGCATTTATATATGTGGATATATTAATTTATATACAATCATACATAAATATATAGTTCCATTTTGGTTTTGACTTCTATTATGGATTATCCTCGACTGAACCATATAAAATTGCCAATATTCCAGTATTTTTTTAATCTACAAAAAAGATTATTTCTTTTGGTTTAACCTAATACTACAAATATTATTCTGTTAGTTTTTCACCTTGGTATATCTTGAGGTTCTTTCTATTTTAGTACTTCTAGATCTACTAAATAACTATTATTAAAGGAGAAAATGCCAGTTTTCTTCTACTCTACTAAATACTAYTCTTCCATTTTCCTCTTTCTTCTTAAAGGCAGCAGAGGAAGTTGGATATCCAGTAATGATCAAAGCCTCAGAAGGAGGAGGAGGAAAGGGAATCAGAAAAGTCAACAATGCAGATGACTTCCCTAACCTCTTCAGACAGGTAGAGTGCAAGTTCTTTTTGTTTATTTGAGCTGACATGTACATCAGAGATACACAATTTAACAATACTGAAATTTGGATGTCCAAAAAATACTTAATTTTTATCTTTGCCTATATCTAATCTAGTCTTTCTCCCTAGCCTTCCACCTGCTTATTAACAGGGAAAATAAAGTTAATGAAATGTCCAAATCAATTTAAGTTTTATTCATTTAGGTAATTCAAACTGTAGAGTTATTCTTTCTTATATAGGAAGGTGGTTCTTCCCTGCATGGCACATGTGACTCACAGTATCTCATAGTGACAAGGAAAAAAAATCAGTGTCTTTCTGTATTTTTTACCCCTSGTCTGCTGACATAAATCAGCGTTAGGTATGATGATATGATATTTATCTAGTTGCTCCAATATTGGTCAGACCCAGACTTGCTCATTGGCTTTCCTTACTTCATTTCAAATTTTCTGCAGGCCCCTGTGATTCTACCATGTGTCCCATGTATCCTGTTGGTCCAGCAGTCTGTGCCTTAGCCTGTGCTGTATGGCTGTCATATGCTCGGCACAGGATCCCTCAGACAGGCCAACATTATGTTGAACTGAGGGTGGCTCAGCAAAGCTCATCCTAGTGTCTCTCTGTCTTACCGTCTGCTTTGTAGTTAAGTTAGTGTGGCCATGAGGGTCAGATTTTGGGAACCAAGGATTGAACCCAGGGGCATTTAACCACTGAGCCACGTCCTCAGCCGCCCCCCTCCTTTTTTTAAAAAAAAAAAATTTTATTTATTTATTTTTTAGTTTTCGGCAGACACAACATCTTTGTTTGTATGTGGTGCTGAGGATCGAACCTGGGCCGCACGCATGCCAGGCGAAGGCGCTACCGCTTGAGCCACATCCCCAGCCCACCCCCCTCCTTTTTTTAATGTTTCATTTTGAGACAGGATCGTGCTAAGTTGCTTAAACTCAGTAGGTTGCTGAGGCTGGCTTTGAACTTGCGATCCTCCTGCCTCAACACCACCATACCTGGTGACATTGTTGTATCTTTTCAGAATCTTAAACCTTTGCTCTGTCCTCACAGTTAGCCTCATGTACTTTACTTACCTCTTTTTCTCCCACTAATACCCAGAAAAGATGTCAGAAAAAAGGAAAATGGGGTAYAAGTTTGGCCTTATCACTCTCTTAGCTTTCCACATTTTCTTAGTTTTCCTAGCATCTTCTATTTCATACCATCTTTTATTATGTCCTTAACAATGTTTTGTTTGGTTTTGGGGGGCACTCTATCAGCTCTTTTTATTTTTTCTTTTGAGACGGTGTCCTGCTRAGTTGTCCAGACTGGTCTTGACTTTGTGATTCTCTTGCCTCACTCAGCCTCTCCAGAGCTGTGAATATAGGTATCTGCTACCATTCTCAACCTTAGCAACCATTTATTTGCTTTCACTCCTCCTTTTTCAAAATCTTTCATCAGCATTTTTTTTTTGCTTCACTTTCAAGGGCTAAAGGGAGAAACTCTATGACCTGGGTCTTACATGATTTGAACTAGATAAAGAAATTGGTAAAAATATTGTCTTACTGCATTATCTTATTTTGAGTGTAAGAAGTTGAATATTACCTCAGTTTTTTTCATTACATTCCTTCTATAAATTTTGATTTTAGAGATAGGTCACTGCTTCATGGAGTCTAGAGAGAAGGCCTTTGCTCTTAGAAACAAAACAGAAAACATGGTAATGGTAACTCCTATAAACACTTCAAAACTATTTATTATTGTGGAATTCAATGGTTGAAGAGTCTAGGACACTAAGGAGTGAGACATTTTATGTGAAAATCCTTAAATTTCAATAATGGTTAGCTAAATAACTCAAACTAGTCCTCCCACTGAGAAGAAACTAAAAACTAAATGATTAAACAAACAAACTCTGTCTTAAGGCATTAAAGACCCTTTCAAGACAGGGAAGAATTATGGCAGAAGAAGAAAAAGAGAGGTGAACATGGAATTCAAGGCCACTCTTTTCTTTTCTTTTTTTTTTTTTWAATTTTAATATTTATTGTTTAATTTTCGGTGGACACAACATCCTTGTTTGTATGTGGTGCTGAGGATCGAACCCGGGCCGCACGCATGCCAGGCGAGCGYGCTACCRCTTGAGCCACATCCCCAGCCCAAGGCCACTCTTTTCATAAAGAAATATCCTAGAAGAAATAGCTGAAAAGCTGGAGTTTTCAACAGTCTTAAGAGACTAAAAGGCCAAAATATAGACTTCAGGGCTTGCTGAGAATGGGTGCTCAGGGAAAACTCCCACATTTTAGGTTGAGGTTCTGAAGGACTATACCACAGGAGAAAGGATGAACTGGAAATAGACAAACCCTCTCAGGGACTAAATCTCAGATTCAAAGTACTCAACATTGATTCAAGCAATATGCTTTATGATTATKACTGCTCATAGCCACCACAGGAAGCAAATATGAATCTACGCCAGAGAAAGATAATACCCAGAATCTCAATTTTTTCTATTAATTTTTGTATGGTGTATTAAGCCCCCAATTAAAAATAAGCAGTCATAAAATGCCATGATTGAAAAATCAAGAAGAAAAGTCAATAGAAACAAAATCCACAGTGGATTTAAATATAAAATTAATCAGACAAGGGCTTTAAAGTAACTGTACTTAACATATCTGAGGAAATTAAAGATAAGATTGAGAATTTTGGCAGAGAACTGAAAAACCATAAAGAAGAAACAAATGAAAATCCTAAAACTGAAAAGGCAATAACTAAAATTAAGAAGTTAGTATAGTTAGCATATAGGTGCAGTTGAAAAGAGAATTAGTCACTAAAAAATAGATGAGAAGAAATCTTGGACTGAAGTATGAAGAGAGACAAAAGGATGAAAAATACAGAAAAGAGCAATGTGAGATAGTRCTTTGCAAGGATGACTGTGATAACTCCTCCCCTCTCTGTATCCCCCTATAAAATATGATATTGCTCTTTTCTACCCTGAGAATTTCAACTGACCTTGTGACTTGTTTTGACCAATAGAATGTGACAGAAATGGTGTACAAATTTTGAACTTAAACGTCAAATGGTTTTATAGTTTTTGCCCTTTCCCTCTTGGAATGAGCCCTCAGATTGCCATGTAAAGAGCCAATTGTAGCCTACTAGAGAAAGGCCAAGTGAAGCAGAAGTAAATCATCCCATCTAAGGCTTCCTAGTCCTATAAACTCATAAGTAAAAGCATTGCTGTCCCAAATCATTAAATTTTTGAAGTTTGTTAGGTATCAATGGATAACTGATACAGTAATTAATATCTAAAGTTATAATACTATCACAGTGAAAAACAAGGCATTGTTTTTGAAATTGGCTCATAGATAGAAGCTGGAAAAATGATGAGGAAGATATTAATGAAGTTGGGGGAATGATGAGCAAACTATTAGTGGAGGCTGAAGAAGTAGTGAAGTACTTGTCATTGCAGTCTGGAAAAAAGATAACCGCATGTTTTATAATGGTGGAACAATTAACAGAAAATATTTTCTGAAGTAACTTGAAAGATTATGTGTTTAAAGAAGTCAAGAATCTGGTTAAGGAGATCTCTGGGGACCAAGTGTTAAAAGTAGAGTGTTTCTACTTTCTTATACTAAGGAGCTGTAGAAGAAAGATGGGTTAAAGATGATGTTTTGTTTGCTAGCAGAATTTTGGGTGCTAATACCCAAAGGAAATCAGAAGAGTCTAGAACTTGTTGGGGTTGAAAATATAATTGTTTCTCATTCCCAGTCTCTTTAGCTGCTAACAAATTTGTGAAGCCCCCCCCCCAAAAAAAAAAAAAGTCTCAGTAAAGATCAAGTCAAGAATGTCAAGAACTCAAAAATATTTACAGCAGTATCTGATAAATGACCTTCTTAGCTAGACAAACATGCTTCTAATAATATTAAGGGCATTGCCTCACCACAGTTTGATTTGCCCAAAGTATAGAAAAGTCTATGCAGAAATGATTTATGGTTGTGGCTTTTGAGATAAGCAGTGAATCCATTATGGTCCATAGAAAACCCACAAAATTATCAAGAGACTTGTATTGATGAATGCACCAAAGGAACTAAAATGGACAGAAACAGTTCATAATGAAAAGAGGCCTTTGGATCTTCACATTTTTGTGGACAGGAAGCAGACTGAGGAAAACTATTCAGCTGTAAACATTAGTTATTTCTTTTTTTTAATATCATTTTTATTGTTGTTTATTTTTTACGTGGTGATGGGGATTGAATTCRGGACCTCTGATAGCTCAGTGGTAAAGTGCTAGGCAGGCACTTTACCACTGTGCTATCTTCCCAGCCCAACATTAGTTATTTCTAATAAAAAGTTTTTTCAGTGGAGAAGGCAGAGGGATGCCATGGATTAGAGACACACTTTTAAGGAATAGAACCAGATCCCCCTGCCAAAAAAAAAAAAAATCCCTGGGTAGGAGATCCTGGCAACATGTACCCACCTGGATTCGAAATTGCTACAAACCAGTGACCACTATGTACTTCCCATCCTCTTCTCTTTGAATGGGRGTATCTTTTGAAGTTCTTTCTCCCAGTCTTTTAATTAGATGTTGGGTGTATTGGGGCAGATAACTTGTCTTTTTAGTTCCCAGGTCTTTGCATCAAGAAAAACTGTACATGCGGAGCTGCACCCAAGGACATGAGTCATGAGAAAAGTGGACATCAAGCCTGATGCCATGATTGGATGAGACTTTGGGGGTCTTGGGAGGGGGTGAGTCTATTTTGCATGAGGGAGGTATGTGAATTATTGTGGCCATAGGGGGACTATAGTAGATTGTTTGCACAGATGGCCACAATAACTCCTCCCATTCCTGTATGTGCACCCTTTGCAATGTGACTTTGCTGTTCTTCCCTTCAAGAGGTGGCATCTCTTTCCCCAGTCCTTGAATTGTAGCTGACCTTGTGACTTGCTTAGACCATTATTAAAAGGTGACCAAAGTGATATGTAAGTTCTAGAGCCTAGACCTCCAGAGGCTTTGCAACTTATACCCTCACTCTACAGGATCACTGCATTAAAGAAGCCTRGTTTAACCAACTGGAGGATGAAAGCTCCTTAGACCTACCAGCCAACAAGACATGTGAGTGAGTCCATTCAGCCCCACTCAAGCCACCAGATAATGATATGCACACAATTGCAAGACCAGAAGAATTATTCGGCATAACATCATGAACAAATAAAGTATTGATGTTTTAAACAAGCAACTGAGTTTTGAAGTGACTTGTTATTTAGCAAAACAGAACAAAAAAGGTACAGAACATAAAAGACATGGGATATAATGAAATGATCTAACATCATGTACTTTTAAGTCTCAGAGAAGAGAATGGAACAGAAGTAACATTTAAAGAAGTAATGAAACMAAAAGCCATATTTGAAAAGATAATGGCTAAGAATTTCCTTAAACTGGTAAAAGATACCAAGTACAGATTCCAAAAACACTATGAGCCCCAAGGAGAATAAATCTGCCATTCCCTACCCCACCTCCAAAAAAAAAGAAAGGAAGGAAGAAGAAAGAAAAAAAGAAACATTTTAAAGCAACTGGAGAAAAAGGATTATTTTCAAAGGAGTAACAAAATTAACTTGAAATCTTAGTAGAGACGGTGGAAACCAGAACACTTTGGGATATCTCTTAAGTGCTGGAAAAAAGTTAATTACCATTGTAGGATTCTGTACCCACTGGCAAAATTTTTTAAAACCGAAGATGGAAGTCTTTTATTTGCAAAAACACCACGTGTTATATAATGTGAACCAGGAATGAATGCATAGTCTTGAGCACGTCATATATTTGGCTGTATGGAGTAGATGGCAATATTTTGCCCTGTTGTGGGGTTTGTATGTGTGTGTTTTCAAATATTTTGCTGTTTACCTTTGTAACATACTGGATGTTTTATGTTTTCATTTTCATTAATATTGGTTATATGACTAAGAATGCAAAATGTTAAAGAGAGACAAGGCATGGACTCTATTTTATTCATTCTGTATGTCTATTGATTAACATAGTTCTACACTTCAAGGCTTCTGCTTGTTGAAATCAGAACAGTTTAGCAGAACAACAACAACAAAAACTTACCACTTAAGATTTTGTTTTCTTTCTTTTTCTAACATAGGTTCAAGCTGAAGTCCCTGGATCACCTATATTTGTGATGAGACTAGCCAAACAATCTCGTCATCTGGAGGTACAGATCCTAGCAGATCAATATGGCAATGCCATCTCTTTGTTYGGCCGTGACTGCTCTGTACAGCGCAGGCATCAGAAGATTATTGAAGAGGCACCTGCTGCTATTGCTACTCCAGCAGTATTTGAACATATGGAACAGGTGTGTCTGTTAAATATTCTCACACAGAACCACTTCTCCTTTAGTTCCTGTACTGACTTGAAAATAGTGGAATTTCAAGCCATGATTCTGGATAATTGATAGTGTTTTGTCTTTCTTGTCCTTTTCCCATTAGGAAAATTGTCAAAGAACATTTTAAGCTCTAAAAGTAGTTAACACTTAAAAAAAAAAAAATCACTGTGCTATTTTGAGGAGAGATTAAGAAAAGAAACATTCGGATTTTTAACAAGTTCACGATAAGCAAGTAGTTCCATTTTTGGGATTGGAGGTCTTCACATCTTCAGATCCATTATCTTTAATTCAAATATCATTCACATTCGAATATTCAGGGGCTGGAGCTGTGGCTCAGCAATAGCGTGCTTGCCTGGCATGTGTGAGGCACTAGGTTCAATTCTCAGCATATCACATAAATAAATAAAAATAAAGGTATATCAAAAACTAGAAACATATTTTTAAAAATTCAAATATTCATTATCTTTTATTTAAATATCTTTAAAGTTTACATACTCTGTATTTTTGTATAGAAAGAATTTCTGAGACATGAAACATGTCTTGGAAGTGGATAAAGTTTAGAGGTCTTTAATGTAATCTTTTTGGAATCATGACTCAGTCTCTGAATTATTGAAAATTTGTTTTCCACTTYTTACTGAACTCCCAAATAGCTAAATAAGAATTTGCCTATGATGGAAGTTTAATTCCTATGGCATATGTGTATATTAGGAAATTCTCTCAAACTGCTATAATACAGTTACCTCCAAAATATAGGGGGTTTAAACAAGGTATAGATTTCTATTTGTCTCTTCATCATAGTTCAGAGCTGAGCTGGTGCAAGATACCTAGGGTTATATAGCTCTGCCATTCCCTAGGACAGGGTTTGGCAAGCTAGAGCTCATGGGCCAATCCAATCTGTTGCCAATTTTTAAAAATGAAGTTTTACTGAAAACAACCATGTTCTTTTATTTATGTATTATTTATGTCTGCTTTATTGCTATAATGGCAGAGATAAGGAGTTGTGAGTATATGGCCCACAAAGTTGAAAAAATTACTATCTGAATCTTTACTGAAAATGCCCTTTGGTGGTGTTATCACCTACACAATTAAGTGAACTTATTGAAGCTAATGGGATAGAAAGAGGGAAGACGTGGAGGGCAAGTGGATAAAAAACACATATCACACCTCTCACATTCCATTGGATAAAATTCAGTCATACCCAGCACAAGGGATATTGGGAATTATAGTCTTTAGCAGGGTGACCATGTACTCAGCTAAAATTCAGGAGATTCTTTTCCTATGAATATGAAGAAAAGTTGCTGAAGGGCATTTAGTAACCTATGTGCCAGTCTGCTTTTCTGGCTGCCCATTGTCCTTTATCTTGGTTAAAGCAAAGAACATACCTAGCCTTTCCCCAAGGAAGACAGCCAGAAGAAGTTCTTACTATGTATTAGAGTTGCTACATGACCTAGAGATCCAAGATATACATGAGATCAGAACAGGCAGCTTGGTGGTAGAGGATTTGCCTAGCATGTACAAAGTCTTGGGTTTGATCCCCTATATTGCAAGGGCTGGGGCAGAAACTCTTATCATTGTATTGTGTGCACATTTGAAAATGTAATAATCCCACCATTATGTACAACTATAATGCACCCCAAAAAAAGGAGGGGGGAAAGGGGTTGGGGTTGTGGCTCACTGGTAGAGCACTTGCCTAGCATGCGTGAGGTGCTGGGTTCAATCCTCAGCACCACATAAAAAACTAAATAAACAAAATAAAGATACTGTGTCCATCTACAACTAAAAATATTATTTAAAAAAAGGGGTGGGRAACAAATCTGGATCATTCAAATTCTCTTGATGTATATTCTTCTCCATTAGGTGTGTATGTGGTTTTTCATARGCCAGTGACCTAAAAGACCAGTTTTTATTCCTTCCCAGTCTCCCACCCCAACCYAGTATATACCCATAATACAGTAGTGAAATATGAGTAGGATAACTCTTATTTGGGAAAATGAAAAATACACAGCAATCATTGGTCCACAGCACTTAACAAATCTTTCTGAAATTATGTTGATTCCCTGCTATATAGTAGAGTATTACTTCACTTAATTAGACAYTGGTTCTGCTCCTTGGGAGTAAGTCCTTTGTCCATTGTCCCATAAGACGCCTAACTTTGTTCTCTGGGTAATTCTTTCTTATTGAGTTTTTTTTTTTTTTTTTTTAAAGAGAGAGAGAGAGAATTCCTTAATATTTATTCTTTAGTTTTCGGCGGACACAACATCTTTGTTTGTATGTGGTGCTGAGGATTGAACCCAGGCCGCACGCATGCCAGGCGAGCGTGCTACTCCTTGAGCCACATCCCCAGCCCCCTCTTATTGAGTTTTCATTGTGAATTAGGCTTTGCAGATTGTGCCTGCTTTGGTGGAACTTTTGTAGCCCACTTCCTGCTGGTACAGTATTGGGGATGAATACTATTCTAGTTAACCATCGTAGGCTATTATAGGCCAGACCATGATTTGTTGAAGAAATAAAGTTCTCTCAATAACTTCATAAGTTTGTAGGCTATTTGCTACTTAGTTTTAGGTTGGAGTAAACATACCCAGAGATTTCTTCTAGATACAGAAACTTTTCTTTTTTTTATCTGCTGGCTTTTCAGCTTAGCCCATCTCTCTTTTCTCAGTTTCTAACATTGGCCACTTTGAGGCCTCTGAAATTAAAGCACTCCCTTAATCTGATCTTTGACACTGAGTTGCTTCAGGGTAAGAATCTAATCTTTTGTTGGGCTACTACAAAAAACAAAACAAAACAAAAAAAAACCAGTTTTCTTTCTTTTTTTTAGAATTTTGGTACTGGGGTTTGAACACAGGGGTGCTTAAGCACTGAGCCACATTCCCAGCCCTTTTTGTATTTTATTTAGAGACATGATCTTGCTAAGTTGCTTAGGGCCTCGCTAAGTTGCTGAGGCTGGCTTTGAACTGTGATCCTCCTGCCTCAGCCTCCCGTGCCACTGAGCATGTGCTACCTCACCCAGCTCTAATTAGTTTTTTTTAAGACTCAGTTGATGTGTGGATAGTGTTCCAATATTATARGAAATAGTTTACTAAATGTAGTGTCATGCTGTAACAAGGAGGCCATTGCCCAGCCTGTGGTGCCTATTTCTTTTCTACCTACTACCTTCTTATTAAGCCATATTTTAATTCTTTTAAATAACTGAATCCTACCTGCAATTAATAATATCTATACTGATTCAATACAGATTAAATTACTATAATAAAAACATCCAAATCACAGTGAACTAAAGGAGATAGAATTTATTTTTCTTTCCCATTATAGGCTGGGGTGAGTTTTACTAATGGGACAGTTGTATTCTATGAGGCCATCTTGGGATTCAGGTTTTTTCTGTTTTGCTTTGCCACTTTTATTGTGTTCTCATTGGCATGGTTAAAATTGGCTTACACTGTCATGACCATGTTCCAGTTCATAAGACGTGGAAACCAGGAATAAAGGATAAGCAATTTCTTTTCAAAACATGATTTTGATAAACGAAATAAGGAAAAATATGATTAGGTTTTTTTGCATATCACTCACAAGGCTTGGTTGGACAAAAGTTAGTTACTTATTAGGGCTGGGGCTGTAGCTCAGTGGTAGAGTACTTGCCTTGCAGGTGTGAGGCCTGGGATTGATCCTCAGCACCACATAAAAATAAATAAATAAAGAAAGGTAAATATTGTTTTCTTCTAAAACTAAGAAAAAAAAATTTTAAGACAGGTTGGAAAGCTCAGTGATTCAGGGGGCTGAGACAGGAGGATCACAAGTTCAAAGCCAGCGTCAGCAATAGGAGGCGCTAAGCAACTCAGACCCTGTCTCTAAATAAAATACAAAAAAAAAAAGGGCTAGGGATATGGTGCAGTGGTTGTGTGCCCCTGAATTCAATCCTTGGTTACTGTCCACTCCCTCTCCCCCGCAAAAAAAAAGAGGTTGGAAAATCAAGTGCTTATCTGAAATTGTCATGTTTCTAGGAAGGAAAGCATACTGGGAATACTCAAAATTAGGGAACAATGAAGAGTCTACTGCCATGTTTTTGTTTTTGTTTTTTTTCCCCCTCTGCATGCCCTTATGTCTGTTGGGATGAAATTGTTTGTAATCTGAAGTGAAAAAGTCTTTCTTCCTAGCTTTTCAGTTGAGCTTGTCTTCCATGTTCAGGTATATTGTGTRTAATCAGAAGGTGAAATTTGCTCTGATATGGCTAAGCACACTAGTGGCTCTTACAAACACTGGATAATTGAGTCAGCAAAAAGCTGTAGGTAGTCATAGTGATTCAACCCCTGTACAAGATGACATACTTACATTTGCTTATCTTTCTTTGAGTGTGCGGTGAAACTTGCCAAAATGGTTGGTTATGTGAGTGCTGGGACTGTGGAATACCTGTACAGCCAGGATGGCAGCTTTTACTTTCTTGAACTGAACCCTCGGCTACAGGTGGAGCACCCTTGTACAGAGATGGTGGCTGATGTCAATCTCCCTGCAGCACAACTCCAGGTGAGTCACCCTTATCTGGGTCCAAGTTAGAGCCTAGAGAAGTTGGGAATGTCACAGATGCCTGAAAAACTGGTTTATCCTGTGTCTGATAAGAGAAAAGGACCTCCTATCTGAGTCTCACCTAATGTTCATTTCTCTTATGTTTTTTTGATGTATGGTTGGTTTCCCAGATGTGGTACAAACATAGCAGTATCACTGAATTTTCTAGCTAGATACATCTGATATAAACTGTTACATTTTAGAAATAAACTTTAAAGACAGTATGCTTTAAATATTTAATTATAGTAAACTTAATTAGCCCTTCCTCCTTCCTCCTGTGTTCTTTATTGAAGTAACTCTATATCAGAGTGGTGTTTGACATTTTCCCTGGCAATGTGGTAGCATACATTTATTTTAATAATGTATAAAGTGATAGCCATCAATATTATTATCTTTTCTCAGCCCAGGAAACRAATACTATAGGAAGCAGTAATAGCTAATAAGGTTTGATATTATATTTTTTTAAATATTATTTTTTAGTTGTTGTTGGACACGATACCTTTATTTCACTTATTTATTTTTATGGGGTGCTGAGGATCGAACCCAGGGTCTCCCGTTGCGAGACGAGTGCTCTACTGCTGAGCCACAATTCCAGCYCCTTATTATTATTTTTAATCTAACGTGTTCTTTGCTCATACAAGGAACACCTTGTAAGTTCCCATTAAAAACTAGAGATTGATTTACTTCTCCCAATGATTTGTGGGATGGAAGAGATAATTATAATATTAAAACTTTGCAGCTGGGCTGGGTTTGTGGCTCAGTGTGGAGAGCTTGCCTAGCATGAGTGAGGCACTGGGTTTGATCATCAGCACCACATTAAAAAAAAATAGATAAAGTAAATAAAATAAAGGTATTGTATCCATCTAAGACTAAAAAAATGAAAAATAAACTTTGTAGCTATTTAAATTTCATTTGTGGTTTCAGACACTGACTTTTCCATTGATATTTTTATTTTCATCCCTTCATGGAGAAACGATAACACAGAGAAACTCATGTCTGTTGCATTAGGAATTTAGGTTCATTTTTAGGAGTGGGGAATATTCTAGTAACTTATCTGTAGTGATATATTCTATTTCAAGTAACTTATAATTTATGATTGACTATAAAAATGGCTCCTCAAATGAAAACTTTCTTAGGTAATCTGAGCCTCCACACTTGAAGGAAAGTAACCATGGAATATGAATGAAGTGTATTTTATTACCTTTCAGATTGCCATGGGGATCCCTCTGTTTAGAATCAAGGATATCCGTATGATGTATGGGGTATCTCCCTGGGGTGATGCTCCCATTGATTTTGAGAATTCTGCTCATGTTCCTTGCCCAAGGGGCCATGTTATTGCTGCTCGGATCACAAGTGAAAATCCAGATGAGGTAATCCATTACTTAAAAGGTTTAAGTTTCTTTTTCCCTTGTGAACTTTAATATTGAGATAGTATCTGAGGACATACTAATGAAATCTCTGGACTCCCTCTGGAGAGGGAAGTTTATAGAGGTTCCTCAGAGCGGATCATTCAGTGGGTATGTAGCACTGGGTCTTGGCCTTTATGATTTTTGTGCATCATTTCTGCAACTGTGTGTGATTAACACAGAGCCTAAATATTGAGTATGTCAATGTTTTCTTCTTTTGAAATATAATAAGATCTCTCATATTCTTCATTCTCTAACAGGGTTTTAAGCCCAGCTCAGGAACAGTTCAGGAACTAAATTTTCGCAGCAATAAGAATGTTTGGGGTTATTTCAGTGTTGCTGCTGCAGGGGGGCTTCATGAATTTGCTGATTCTCAGTTTGGTCACTGCTTTTCCTGGGGAGAAAACAGAGAAGAAGCAATTTCGTGAGTATAATAGCATTTGATTGCATATCACAGATAATTTTTTGTTAATTTTCAATGAAGTATGAGCATGGGAATGATTTATATGCTCTGAAAATATTTCTACAGATAGCCTTTTTWAAAAAATATATCTTTATTTGTATTTGTATTCAGTTGTATTAAATTATGTAGTATTTGACAGATATTTTTCTCTTTGTTGTCTGAGCCTTTTCAAGTATTTTTGCTTTCAAAAAATTTTGATAAACTTATGAAGTTAGTTGCTTTAAAGTTATCATGCTTTTTCACAGAAATTGTATTGTTATTGGGGGAGGCAGATTCTTGACCAAGAGCTTAATATCAAATAATCATAGATAAGATCTGTATTTTTCATTAAAATAAATGTATTGTTGCACTTGTTTGTTTTTGCAGTATTGGGATCCAAACCCAGGGCCTCAAGATATAGCTGTAAATCTGAGTCATTTAAAATTTTTATTTGACAAGTAAATGTCACACATATTTGTGTCATACCACATGAGCTTTTGCTATTTGTATACTTTGGGAAGTGACTAAATCAAGCAGTTTGTTTGCATTATCTTATATACTTATCATTTTTTTAATGGCAAGAACACTTTAAATCACTGTCCTACCAATTTTCAAGCATACAATATATACTATTAACTGATATACTCTTCTAGTCTTTTTTKGGGGAGGAGGGTCCTGGGGATTGAACTCAGGAGCACTTGACCACTGAGCCACATCCTCAGCCCTTTTTTGTATTTTATTTAGAGATAGGGTCTCACTGAACTCGTGATCCTCCTGCCTCAGCCTCCTGAGCCACTGGGATTATAGGTGTGTGCCACTGTGCCTGGCTCTTCTAGTCATTTAAAATAATAAAATTATTCTTTTCATTTTAGAGAAAGGKCATAAAAGAATTCCTACCTTGCATGTATAAGAAACTTTAGTGTGCTATAAAGTATGCATAGGTTTATATAAATATAACTGGTATATCATAAATGTTAGTTAATATTTTATTAGTCATAAGCATTAAATATCAAATTAACAGCAGTTTGTTTATCTTAAAAAGCAGGCCTTTAGGACACAAGTTTGACAGCTTATATATTTTAAAATATCTGTCTAAAATTGAGCTAGTTTGTTCTCTTTTTKGGGGGCTGGTGATCAAACTTAGGACCTTGGACATGCTATTTTTTAATTGTTTATTGCTTTATATCAGATATTTAATGCCATTTTTTTGATCTTTGAACTGTACACAGAGTAATAACCAAGTATTTATTAGTATTATTAGTTTTTAATAATGTTTCCAGAAGTATTCTTAGTTTTTAATAATGTTTCCAGAAGTCCTTTATAGTTCTTCTCCATTTATTCAACACTATAAATTGAAATTTTTCAAAATTACAGCCCTGCTATGAGAAACAAAAATATTGGTATAAAGTTGGCTTTTTTTTTTTCCTGCTTTTTCTTTCATTGTCATATCCTATTCTGTCAAAGTGAAGAAGGTTCACCCTAGAAGTTGCCAATGGACAGCTTTGTGGCCTGTGTTAGTTTTCAAATGTGTTTTGATTGGCTCATGGAGCTTTTATTTTTTTTTTAACTTGTGAATATTTAAAAATTGGGGAGATTATAATAAAAATATGGATTTCTGTTTTCTCTTCAAAATGGGATGATGACAATGTTCGTTTTATATTCCTCTTGGTAAAAGTTAAGTTTTTTTGTGGCTCTTCCTTTTAGATGATACTCGAAACACAATACCTCTTTTTCCCCATCCAATTCATCCAATTTGCCTCACTCATTTATATTCCCACACTGGCTTCTATTGGCATTTAGGTGTAGTCTTGATTAGGCTGACCTCTGTGTATTTTCTATTGGATATGTCCAGTGACCTACTACAGAAGCCTTGATCCTTATTTCTGATCTCCTCTGTATATTTTGTTATAGTATAAAGCTAACTAGGATGTCTTTTGGCATATTCAAACTGTTGTCTCTATAATAACTTTGCTTTCTGATACTATGTCAAAAGTTCATTCTTTGACTTGGAGTTTTCTTTGTTTTTTCTTCATTACAGTTAGACAGTTTGATGTTTAGACTCTTGTTTTCCATAATAGTCCCAGTTCATATTTCCAATATTATTTCCCTTACAACATAATGTAGAAACCATGAGAACGGAACCACATCTATGTTGTTTCCTGCAGTATCCTCTGAACATAATAAGCATTCAGAAAATATTTGTGGAATGAATGTAATTGCCACTACGCCCTGTCCTCATACTCTCTGCTTTAATCATAATATTCCCTGAACACTTCCCATATTTTCTTTTTCTTTTTTTTACTATTCYCTCTATTCATTTATTCATTGATCACACTCAACAGATATTTACTGAGTATATGTTATGTACKGGTTCTGGCAATATAGTCAAGACCAAATAGGGTTTCTGTTCTCATGGAAATTTAAAATCCAGAGGAAGAAAGACAAGCAATTAAAACATAATGTAGTAAGTATGATGGTAGTGGGATTATAGAAGGGCATTATAGGAGGATGTAGCTGAGTCAACTCAACCTACAGAGTGTCAATGAAGGCTTCACAGAAGGAAGTGATTTCGAGATCAATACTTGAAGAGTATATAGGACTAAAGTGAAGGAGGACACAGACAGGAGGATGGAGGAGGGAAACAGAATGAATGTCCTAGGCTGAGAGTATGCCACCCTAAATACTGTTCCTCTCAACTGTTAGTTTTTCAAGCCCATATCAAATCCCACATTTTTCATGAAACCATAAGGTTTTCTCCCCTCTTAGAACCTCTCTTATACTTGGCTTTAGTCTTTCTACTGGTATTTATGATAGTCTTCTATGTATTTTGAGCACAATTATCATATATGTGTATTCTTCCTTAACAAGGCTGGTATATGTCTTGAGCATATGAATACATAGTAGTTGTTGAAGAAAGTTCTGTCCCTATGAAGAATAGACCCTGGGAATAAAAATCCCATAGTATTTGATACTCTGTTAAAATTTAATCATTTTATATGTAATTGTAAATTTATTTAATAATGGGTAAGTCATTGCCAGGATGTCCAAAATTCATTTTAAAAAACACTCTCATATGCAGTATCAGGTGGATATCTGACAGTACCAAGCCAGTTGTCTGATTGTAGGGAAMTCTTTAAAGTATTAACATTTGTCAAAATTCATTGATCTGTATACTTAAAATAAGTATATTTTCTTGCATGTAAATTATACGTAAAATAAACAAGGTTTAAGAATAACATACTTATTAATAAATAAGATGTAAAGATGAGGAAAATTAGTGTCCTAATTCTAGTCTAGTCAGTAGTAAATGAATRGGGTGATGGAAACCTAACAAATGAAAGCTGAGGGTGATTTGCATATAATTATTTCTGTACTATGTGTAATAAAATGTGTGTGGTTTGCTGATACTCATGATGGTAATATCAGTTAGAATCTATAAGCTTATTTCACCCAAATTCTCTTATCTGGAACATTCCTTACTGAGTGTACTTAACATATACCCTCATTAGAACTCTCTCCCTCTGCCCTTCCCTCCAGAACTCCAAAGGAATGAAACAGTTCTTTAAAATGATTGAAAAACACTACAACATATGTTGCTGAAACAGATTGTCTTCTGRTCTTTCCCTAGAAATATGGTTGTGGCTTTGAAGGAGCTATCTATTCGGGGTGACTTTCGAACTACAGTTGAATACCTGATCAAACTGTTAGAGACTGAAAGCTTTCAATTGAATAGAATTGACACTGGTTGGCTGGACAGACTGATAGCAGAAAAAGTACAGGTGTGTATTTCTCTTGCATAAGTAGCCTCTGGGATTGGATTTTAATGGGCTTGTAGTGTGATCAGTGCCTTTCATTTGATGACATTTATTTGATTCTAATGTAAATGGTTCTTGATCTACATGGGRAAATCTAGGAATCAGAGTAGTTTTAGCACTCTAAGCATTCTTGTGCTTGGTTTGGGATGTAGCTCAGTGGTAAAATGCTTGCCAGCATGTGCGAGGCCCTGGATTCAATCTCTGTCACTACAAAAAAAAAAAAAGTTTTTGTGCCTGTGCTATGCAGTCATTTCATGTGTTCTAATATTACTTCCTGCGGTATATTTGAAGAGAGGCATGCAGAGTTTGAAATACTACTTTGCCTTTTTTCATTTGATGTTCAATCTGATTCAGAGGCACCACCTTTTATATCTTTAAGTGCTGATAAGAGAGTCTCATTTAAATCAACACTCAACTCTTGTTCTTGAGCTAACTTCTGGTCTATTCTAAATTACCCAAAATGTTGTATAAAATAATTAGATTCATCTAAATTGTCTAAAGGTCCACTTTTTGGCTGTATGCCATTTTCTTTGAGATTATCAATAGCCAAGTCTTTTTAAATTTATTTCTAACAAAAGTCTATTTTTGAGCTTCTTTTTGATTGACTTAGTGGAAGTCTTATCGAGAGTGGGTATAAGGTTGTTTTTCATCTCTATTCACATGATGCCTCTATTCAAATTCTAAAAGTAAATGTATTTTATTTTATCTCAAAAATCAGCCAGGCAATAAAAGTGGAGATTTTCATTGCTCACTGTGTCTTCACAACAAATTTGAGCCTCATTTCACTTGAGGGGCTATGGTGCCAAGGGACCATGCTTTTGATGTGCCCTCTTTTTCTTCTTTTCAGGCGGAGCGACCTGACACTATGTTGGGAGTTGTGTGTGGGGCTCTTCACGTGGCAGATGTGAGCCTTCGAAATAGCATCTCTAACTTCCTTCACTCCTTAGAAAGGTAGGTTTTGTTTTTGTGACTGTGCAAGCTAACCAGTGGTCCTGGGTATAGGATTGCAACTGAAAGACCCATTCATTTTTTTGTCCCTTCCTGGCAGCTTGCAGGTGCTACTTGTTATTCACAGGCTGTGGTGGTAAAGGAGATTGGGGAAGGTAGCAATTTATGGCAAATCATTTTAGGGCTCTACTATGGATTGTAGAAATTAGTTTATACTGCAATTAGAACAGGTTCYTTTTTTAAAAATTGAAATCCAGCTGTAGTAAACATTTCATGCTGTGCAAGCATCAAATCTCCCCAAACCCTAGTGACAAAGATCTCACATTTTTTCCTAGCACTGAACCTTAAGTATTTCTTGTATTACCTGTACCACCTTTTAAGAATTAATAATTGAGGCTGATACTCAGGATGACCTCATAAGTCTTTCAAGTAAAGGATCAGGCATGTGTGGGTCTGAACTAATTTCTAACACTGATTCTGGAGACTAAGCTCTGCCTTTGAGTCCCCCGAGGAATGGTCCAAAGGGCTAATCATACTAAAGCACTTTTAATCACAGGTATTTTATTTCCTTCTGTGTTGTTAGATTTATATATCAACTCTCTTTTGAAGTGTCTGAAAGGAAGAAAAGAAGTAAAATTTTGAAAATTGAACTGAGATTTCAGTGATTCAGCTCTATGATAAATATCTTTCACAGTGTTACTCCATGCACTAAAACCTTGAGCAGCTTACGTTTTCTTTCTGTATCAAATCTAAGTCCCTTAGTGTGACTGAATATATTGTCCCTTTTTGGCAAAAGTTCTTCAATATACAATCTCTATAAATAGTTTCCCCACTGGTGCATAAATGTCTCACAATCTCCTTTATGAGTGTTCCCGATTTAGTGTTCTTATTTTTCATTTTTTAAATATATTTTTTATAACTTTATTTTATTTATTTATTTTATGTGGTGCTGAGGATCAAACCCAGTGCCTTACACATGCCAGGCAAGTGCTCCTACCACTGAGCTACAACCCTAGCCCCTTCATTTATTTTTAAAACTTAAATTTTGAAATAATATCTGACTTTTTAAGATTTGCATGAAGAGAACAGATAACTTCCATATATTCTTCACTTAGATTTATCAGTTATTAACAACTTTCCGTATTTGGTTTATTGCTCTCTATTTTTAAAAATTTGGTTTTATTTATTTTTAAGAATGAGTAATAGATTCACATGGTTTAAAATTTAAAAGGCACTAAAAGATACATATTTAAAGTCTCCTTTTTACCTCTGTTCCTTGACCACCATGTTACTGGTTTCTTCCATAGTCCTCTAGAGATGTCTTGCACTAAAATAAGCATATACATGTAATATTTATTTTTTCTCTCTCTTTTTTAAAGATACAAATGACAGTGTATTCTGAAACTATATTTGTATAATGGTATATTTGGAATATGTGAATTTTGTATATAAAAGATGTCCTTTATTTTTAATGGCTGAATAATATTTTGTTGTATGTATGAGAAGGTGCTTAACATTGCTAATCATCAGGAAGATGTAAATCAAGACCATTATGAGGGCTGGGGATATAGCTCAGTTGGTAGAGTGTATACCTCACATGCACAGTCCTGAGTTCAATCCCCAGTACCACACACACACACACACACACACACACACCAAAAAAAAAGAAAAGAAAAGAAAAAGATCACTATTAGAAATCATCTCATATCCATTAGGATGCCTATAGTCAAAACCAGAAAATAGGTGTAGACAAGGATGTGGAGAAATCATGACCCTTGTGCATTTTATAAGTGGGAATGTAAAACAGTGCAACCACCATGGAATACAGATTTAAAATTCCACAGAAAATTAAAATGCGAATTACCACATGATCCAGCAATACCACRTTTGAATATTCTGAAAGAATTAAAAGCAGAGTCTTAAAGAGAGATTTCTGTGTGCATAGCAGAATTATTCATAGAGCCTACAAGGCAGAAACAACCAAAATATCTATTGGTGAATGAATGAATAAACAAAATGTTATATAGACATAACAATGAAATATTATCTAGCCTTAAAAAGGAAGGACATTCAGCCATGCATAGTGGCTCATGCATGCATGTAATCCCAGCAACTGTGGAGGCTAAGGCAGGAGGATCCCAAATTTAAGGCCAGCCTCAGCAACTTAGTGAGACCCTATTTTTAAAAAAGAGTAATAAAATGGGACAGGGCTAAGGATATGGCTCAGTAGTAAAATGTCTTTGGGTTCAATCCCCAGTTCCAAATTAAAAAAGGAAGAAAGGACATCTGACACATACTAAATCATAGATGATTTGTGAAATAAGCCACTCACAAAAAAGGCAAATACTATAAGATCTCACTTACATGAGGTATCAAGAGTAGTCAAACTCAGAAACAGAAAATGCCAGGGACTGGGGGAGGGATAAAAGCGGAGTTGTTTAATGACAATAGAATTTTGTTTTTGCCAGATGAGAAGGTTCTGGAAATTGATTGCACAATATTGTAAAAATAATTAACATTATAGGGCTATGCATTAAAAAATGGTTAAGATAGTAAATTCCATGTTATATGTATTTTATCACAATTAAAAATAGAAATTTTATTTTTAAAAATAATTTATGTGGCCTGGGGCTGGRCCTTAGTGGCAGAGCACTTGCATAGCATGTGTGAGGCACTGGGTTCAATCCTTAGCACTACATAAAAATAAACAAATAAAGGCATATTGTCCCTACAACTACAAAAAAATAAAAAAAAAATAATAATTTATATGATCAGTCCCTTACAGATAGATGATCATTTGGGTTGTTTCTAATCTTATGCTATTTCAGAAAATACGACAATTAATAATTTTAGGGATTTATTTTTTAAAGTATTTATTTTTTAGTTTTAGGTGGATACATCTCTATTTTATTTTTATGTGGTGCTGAGAATCAAACCCAGTGCCTCACATGCACCAGGCAAGCACTTGACCACTGAGCCACAACCGCAGCCCGATTTCTTTATAAACTATTAAAACTTTCTGCCAGTAAATGTCTCTTCCATTGGTGTTCTTTCAGGGGTCAAGTCCTTCCTGCTCATACACTTCTGAACACGGTAGATGTTGAGCTTATCTATGAAGGAGTCAAATATGTACTTAAGGTATGTGAACCCCATTGAAGCCTGCACCTTATTTATTTATTTTTGGGGTCTCTCTTTGTTAGCTAGTTCTCTTTAGGTCAAGAGATGGAAAAGTTTGATTTAGTGCAGGGATGGGGTATTAGTAAAATTAGTCATTATTTTTGTCAGCAGTATTTGATGATTCTTTTTTTTTTTTTTTTTTTAATATTTTATTTATTTTTCTCGGCGGACACAACATCTTTGTTGGTATGCGGTGCTGAGGATCGAACCCGGGCCGCACGCATGCCAGGCGAGCGCGCTACCGCTTGAGCCACATCCCCAGCCCAAGTATTTGATGATTCTATGGAAATTATTTTAGTTGTTACTTAACTTCACATTACAGCCAAGAGATGAAGGGGAGACAGGGAACAACCGGAATAGAGAGGAATAACTAAAGTAGCTTTATTTGCTTGCAGAAGGACTGAGCCATTTTCATAAACATTGATGCAAACAGCACCAGTGGCCCCAGTGACCAATGCCATTAATTTCCTTTTTCCTGACAGACTTTTTTTTTTTTTTTTTTTTAACAGTATCTTTGAAACATTTAAATTTTGTCTGTGGCTCTCTCTGAACGGTGCATACTAACTTGTCTTTTCTGGTTCTTTTTCACTGCAGGTGACTCGACAGTCTCCCAACTCCTATGTGGTGATCATGAATGGCTCATGTGTGGAAGTAGATGTGCATCGGTTGAGTGACGGAGGACTGCTTTTGTCCTATGATGGTAGTAGTTATACTACGTACATGAAGGAAGAAGTAGATAGGTGAGTGGCTGTTCAATGTCCATTTGTTGGACCTTTTTCTTTTATTAGTCACTAGCTCTTGGCCTTTTTTGGTATACTCATTTTTAGTTAAAAACAATGACCGTACATGCACTAACAAAAATTTCAAGAAAGCAGAATTGTTTATAGTTAAAAGCATGTCTGAAGCCAGGTGCAGTGGCATGTGCATATAGCTCCAGTTACTCAGGAGTCTGAAGCAGTGGGATTGCTTGAGCCCAGGAGTTCAAGGCCAGCCTGGACAATACAGTGAGACCCTGTCTCTTAAGAATAGACTAAAGAGAAAAGAAAAAAAGAAGACCTATCTCCCAACCACTCTGGTGTGGGTAGAGAATGAAAAGAAGTTCTTTTCTTTATAAAGAACTATTAAAAGTTTCTTGTACATTTTTGTAGAACTTTTATAATGTATATACAAGTTACATATATGTGTATACTATATTTTTCCTTTAAAGATATTCACAAATAAAAATATCCTTTAAATACTATTAGTATCTTAGTTTTTTTTTTTAACATATATTGTAGACTGTACAATACCATTCATAGTGTTGTGAGAATTTAATGAATTAACACACTTAAAGTGCTTAAAATTTTGCCTGTGGCATAGTTAGGGTTTAGGCCATTATCATTATTATTAGATCATCATTATTTTTGTATATTTGTGTTTTATAGAGGTGCCCCTTCTTTTTAATGGTCTTGCACTATTCCATTATGTGAGTGTACCATAGTTTATTTAATCTGACCCTTATTGAGGGAAATTGTTATTTAGAATTATAAACAAAGATGCAATGAATGTTCTCTATGTGTTTTTGTTTGTTTATGGAATAAAGTTTCTGAGTTTTTACATTGATACCTTCTGCCATTTCCCTTTACTCCTGAAGTGCTTTTTTGTCTTACATACTTCAACTTACCTCCTAGATATCGAATCACGATTGGCAATAAAACCTGTGTATTTGAGAAGGAAATTGACCCATCTGTGATGCGCTCACCATCTGCTGGGAAGTTAATCCAGTACATTGTGGAGGATGGAGGCCATGTGTTTGCTGGCCAGTGCTATGCTGAGATTGAGGTCAGGGTAGTGAATAGGCTGCTGGGTCATGGGAGGGAAGTTAAGAAAAGAGTTAGCTGGAATGGACTAGAGCTGAAAAATAACAGAAAGGAAATAAAAAAGAACGACATTGGTCGGTTTAATTGAGATTGTGAACCTTAAGATTTTAAAAGCAAAATGCTTGCTGTTTTTCAGGTAAAGGAACTCTGGCTTTAAAAATAGATGGTAGGCAGTAGCACCTACTGTTAGGTGTTGCATTAACCACTGATTGTACAGAGAAAATATGATAGAAGTTGGGACACAAAATAGACAAGTAATGAAATATGATGAATTCTGAGAGAGATCTAAGTACAGAGTGCAGAGGATCACATAAYCCAAATCATAGTAAGGGTGCATAGTAAGGGAAGACATTCTAAAAGAAGGGACATTTATATTAGTTTTTAAAGGTAGTACTAGATAAGGTGAAGAAGGGTAAGGAAGAATGTGTAAAGTTGAGGGAATACCATGAAGGCCCAGAAGCAAGATGGTATGATAGTATTTAGGGACCATCAGTATATATTAGTATTGCTTGAGAATAGGCTAAGGTCAAATGGAATGTGGTAAGCAAACATGCTAAAGAACTAGTATAGTGTGAGATCTTAAATGTAAGGTCGTAAAAGACCTTATTCACCATGCTAGTAAGTTTCCACTTACACTGAAGGCAGTGAGGAATCATTGAAGGATTTTAAGTGGAAAAGAAATATGAGATTTGGGCTCCAGAATTACTGTTTTTTTGGGGAACCTTGTTGAAGGTATATAACTGATAGGAAAATCTTTTAGAGGTTTTTGAAGTACTCTAGGCTAGAAATGAGAAGGGCCTACACCAAAGACATGGCAAGAGAAGGAACATTTTTGAGAGAAGATGTACTTGATTTGGGTTGGTAATTGGTAGATAGAGGAGGAAAAGGAGTGAAAAATAACCCCTAGTTTTTGGCCTCCTGAATATCTTCAGTAGGCAAACTGAGAGTGAACACCCAAATTTACTGGTATAAAGAGACCAAATTGTTCATCACTTCTAAATACAAAACAAATATTATCACAAACTGTAGCAAAATGGATAGAAACAGAGGAAATATCAGTAATTATTATAAGTCCTTAAAGCTAGGTCCTGAAAGATTTTCTGCTTGCTTGCTTCATCAATCCACAGGAGATTTTAGTAGACACCTATTTTTATGGGTTGAAATAAATGTAGTTCAACTTAGATGCTAAGGAAAAACTGACGTCCTTGAAACATTCATCTGTATGAAAAGAAATCAGACTACAAGTTATTTATTTTTTACTATAGGTGATGAAGATGGTGATGACCTTAACAGCTGCAGAATCTGGCTGTATTCATTATGTCAAGCGACCTGGAGCAGCTCTTGATCCCGGCTGTGTAATAGCCAAAATGCAGTTGGACAACCCCAGCAAGGTTCAGCAGGTATGGAGGAATGTACTCTTAATTGCTTGGTTTGCCAATGTTTCCTTAAGCTGTTTTTCCGCTTGATGTGATATGCCTTGTATCTGTGCCTGTGATATTGTGGAACTAGAGTTTGCAAGAGTCAATACAATACTAAGATTCTGTAATTTCCTCATGATGTTTCCTCCACTGACTTCTCTCCTGGTAACTGGATTCAGGGAAGAGATGTCTGGATTTTGAATGATGATACTGAATTGCAGTTGTGTTTGTGCCCTGAATAGAAATTAATGAATGACAGTCTCTCATTGGGGTTGACAGGCTGAACTTCACACGGGTAGTCTGCCACAGATCCAGAGCACAGCACTCAGAGGCGAGAAGCTCCATCGAGTGTTCCACTATGTCCTGGATAATCTGGTCAATGTAATGAATGGATACTGCCTTCCAGATCCTTTCTTTAGCAGCAGGGTATGAATCACCTATCTTGGGGAAAAGAATGTACAAAAGGGGAACAATATCAAAATAATTTAAAGTCTCATGAGATTTTCTAGAGGGAGAGAAAGAAAGCCAGTTGGCCTGGAATGCTCTCTCCTTTGGTTGTTAGATTTGAAGTCTTTAAATCCTTGCTTTTTAGCTTTGTCATGTACTTCACCTTTAGTCGAGATCATTCCTTTTTAAACCAGAGAATAGGGGCAATAATTGATGCTTACACTGAAATCTAAAAATAAATACTATATGACAGTGAATTCAGATCTCTCATTTTATGGGTTTGTTTTTTGTTTTGTTTTTTKTTTGTTTGTTTGTTTTTTACAAATCCTCAAAGTTAGGCCCTGAAAAATTTTCTATTTGCTTGCCTCATCAGTCCACAGGAGATTTTGATAGACACCCATTTTTCTGGGTTGAAATAAATATAGCCCAATTTAGATGCTAAGGAAGGCTGTGGTGATGGATCTGCTCCGGCAGTATCTGTGAGTAGAGACACAATTCCAGGAAGTGGGAGTACTGGAGATTGAATCTAGGGGTGTTTTACCATTGAGCTTTATCCGTAGTCATTTTTATTTTTATTTGGGGATAGGGTCTTGCTAAGTTGGTAAGGCTGGCCTCTAAGTTGCAATCCATCTACCTCACCCTCCCAAGTTGTTGGGATTTCAGGTGTATACCACTGCACCTGATTAAATATCTCATTTTATTTTGGGGATTGTGTTAACTTTGGATCCTGTTTTATTATTTCTTCTTCTCAGGTGAAAGACTGGGTAGAGCGGTTGATGAAGACCCTTAGAGATCCCTCTCTGCCTCTTCTAGAATTGCAGGATATCATGACCAGTGTCTCTGGTCGTATTCCCCTCAATGTGGAGAAGTCTATCAAGAAGGAAATGGCTCAGTATGCTAGCAACATCACATCAGTCCTCTGTCAGTTTCCCAGCCAGCAGGTATTGATAGGGTAATATTATCCTTATTTTCCACTGGCTACCACTGGAGTTCAGGCTGCAGCTTTCTGTTTGGATCGTCCCTATTGTCTCAATGGTGTGCTTTTACAGTTTTAAGCACTGTACTTTCCTCAAAACTGCCTCAGAATATAAGTCCAGTAATGAAAATACTGCATGTGAAATGTAAAAGGTCCTTGGTTATGAGAAAAACATGCTTTGGCCATGTACTCCACATAGCTTTGTTCTTGAGGGCTAGTCCCTATTTGGAAGTATTTTTATAAATTTAAAGTGAAGGATATTGGTAGTTTTATTATCAAATACTTCCTTACTACCTCAGCAGCATCCTTGCCCTTCATCTATAAAGTAGCTTTATGTAGGGAGTAAAGCTGAGCAAGAAAGGAGTACATTTACATCTTGACTTTAAAACAGATCGTTCATGTGAGACCTTCTGAGTAGATGGTAATTTTTAATGTCATCATTATTACATCTGTAAAAGGGCAAAAAGAGACAAAAGTTGCTTGCTTATTTAGCATAGGCCCTACATTATGTCCAGTAACTTCCAGCTGTGGCTGATAAGTCATGTAGGAATTGTGTTATAACTAAAAAGATTTCCTAGTGTGGTGCTCTGGAGGTTAATGCTTTGGGTCCCTTTGTTAGATTCCTCCCCCCCYTCTTTTTTATGCCTTAGATTGCCAACATCCTAGATAGTCATGCAGCTACATTGAATCGGAAATCTGAACGAGAAGTCTTCTTTATGAACACTCAGAGCATTGTCCAACTGGTACAAAGGTAATTACATATAATTCCAGATTTTCAACACCAGTCCACTCCCATGCTTTCTTTTAAATGGTCTTAAAGAAATTTACCTCAGGCCTGACTTTGAGTAAAAATAGCTAGCAATTTATATCTCACAAAGTTCCTTATGTCTTCTAACTGTCTTAGAATTGTGACCTAACTCTCAATCTCAATATTTCTGGTAACTTCTTAATATTCTTTTTTTTAATTTTTTTTTAGAGAGAATTTTTTAATATTTATTTTTAGTTTTTGGCGGACACAACATCTTTGTTGGTATGTGGTGCTGAGGATGGAACCTGGGCCGCACGCATGCCAGGCGAGCSTGCTACCACTTGAGCCACATCCCCAGCCCATCTTAATATTCTTTGTCAATTATTGAGATCCAGAAATTGTGTTTTCCGTTTTCCTTGCCATTTTGATGAAGACCCTAATTTTTCTTCTGGTGTGGAACCTAGTATGACATTTATTTTTAACTGCTCAGCAGTAGGAACTGAGTCACAATGTCACTGGATAAAGGCTATGAAGATTTTTTAGTTTTGTTTTTATTTTTCTTTATAAAAGATCATGTCTCTATATAGTGAGATGACTTTTTAGGCTTGGAATTTAAATTAATCTGGTTGGTTAATTGTAGTAGGCTGACCCCTGTCCTGCCCTATATTTAAAGGGATTTTCAGTGGAAAATTTAGAAAGTAAATTTGGCTTCTAGGTTTTTCATTCCATAGTGTTGGCCTGTCAGGTTTTTCAGTGGAGATTTTTTTTCTATCTGCTCAGGTACCGAAGTGGCATCCGAGGCCACATGAAGGCTGTGGTGATGGATCTGCTCCGGCAGTATCTTCGAGTAGAGACACAATTCCAGAATGGTAAGCTTTCTCCTGAGGACTCTCTTTCTAACAGTGTTTCTAATTCTGATGTCTAGACCAAACTATCCCTATAGGACTGTAAGAGCTAAGCCAGTTCATCTTGTCACCAACACTTCCCATTAACAAACTTATTCTTTTTCCCTTAAAAATGGAAATCTCATGGGCKGGAGATGTGGCTYAGCGGTAGCGCGCTCGCCTGGCATGCGTGCGGCCCGGGTTCGATCCTCAGCACCACATACCAACAAAAATGTTGTGTCCGCCGAGAACTAAAAAAAATAAATAAATATTAAAAATTCTCTCTTTCTCTCTCTCTCTCTCCCCTCTCTCACTCTCTCTTAAAAAAAAAAAAAAAATGGAAATCTCATATCCCACTAACACCAAAGAAAGAACAACAACAAAACACAGCTTGATGAAATTGTGAATCTAGTGTGCTTCCGAGAAAGGACTGAGATTACTTTTCTAGTAGAGATTAGCATTCCCCGTTGACATCTTCTTGACCTTGTATAGTGAGAGTTGGTTGAGTCATGACCAGGCTGAAATTGAAATTCCCCATCTGAAGAGCTTGCCTCTCAGCAGCTCATCTATGGATTGAGCTACAGGCATATAGGAAAGGATCAGATTTTCCACTACTTTTTCATGTGCCATTTAGGTGGAATTTATCCTTGGCTTTCTCTGAAGAGCTTCACTAAATGAAGTAGTTTTTAAGCATAAAATACTTTGGTTAAGACTTTAAAGCTATGTACCGCTRATATTGCTTTCTACCACAAGATGGCAGTGAAACCACATAGAATTTAAAATGTTACCTAAAATTTTCTTTTATCTGTTCTGCTCTCATTTACATTCTTTAAAAAGATGGTCATGTGCCACTCATGACCAGCAAAATTCTCCAAGTAGACATTAGCACACTTAACCCAGCAATGTATGGAATAATATATCACAACCAAGTTGGCTATATCCCACTAATTCAAAATTGATTAATTTGGTGGATAATTAATGCAATTTTCATGTGTTAATAGATTAAAAGAGGAAAAAACATGGTCATCATCTCAGGATATGGAGAGAAAAGCATTTAACAAGGTTTAACATTCATTCATGATAACTCTGAGAAACTAGGAATGAAATTAGACATTTTAATTTTTTGTGAGGACCTACAGTTGGGCATGGTGGCATATGCCTGAAATCYCAGCTCTTCAGGAGACTAAGGCAGGAGGATCACAAGTTCTAGGTCAGCCTCAGCAACTTAGTGAGGCCCTGTCTCCAAAAAAATAAAAGGGTGGGGCAGGGGAAGACTGGAGATGTAGCTCAGTGGTARAACATCACAGGATTCAGTTCCCAGTACCACAAGAAAGTGAGGGTGACACCACAAAAAATTAACAGAATATCCCGGGCACAGTAACACATGCCTTTAATCCCAGCAAGTGGGGGTGGAGGTGGGAGTGGCACAGAGCCAGCCACAGCAAAAGCGAGGTGTTCAGCAACTAAGTGAGAACTTGTTTATAAATAAAACACAAAATAGGACTGGGGATGTGGCTCAGTGGTTGAGTGTCCCTGAATTCAATCCCCAGTACCCTGCTCCCTCAACAAAAAAAAGAATAAGACAAAGATTTGCTATTGCTACTTATGTTCAGCATTATGTCTCAGCCAGTGCAGTAAGATCAGAAAAGTAATTAAAAGGTATAAGGACTGAAGAGTAATAAGGAAGTAGATCTGCCGTTAATAGATATGCTATGATGTCTACTTGGAAGGTGCAAAGAATCCGCAATTTTACTATTAAATTATTTAAAACCTAACAAAGCTGCTAAATACAAAAGTCAACATAAAATTCAGTTGCATTTTTTTTTTTTAGTAGAGCAACTCTTATGCTGGTTTATTAGAAGACATAAACAGGATTGTTTGTGTCAGCACTTTTCATAGTAACAAAAAAGACAAAACAATCTCAATATACCCATGTAGAATAGATTATTGCATTTTACAATGTTCCTACAATAGATTATTATACAGCAGTGAAAATGGATGAACCAGGGGACACTCGTAGACAAAAGGATGAATCTCAAAAATATAATGTTGAAGGAAGGAAATAAGTTACATAAGAATTAATTGGCAGTGATCCCATTTTTTACAAAGTTCAAAAATAGGAAAATTAAACCGTACATGCATTAGTGGTAAATGTAAAGTAAAGCAAAAGAATAATTAAAATGAAATTCAGCTTAGTAATTATTTTAAGAAGAAACAAACGGGTATTCAAATATACCAAAGAAGTTCTATTAAGATTTAGTAGCTCTGAAATAACACATGGGTATTTATTTCAACTGTTACTATAGATTTTATATATTTTTCTGTGTGTATATCACAATTAATAGTTTTTAAGAAGGGAACATTTATTGTTTTCTTTCTATTAGAGTCTTCCCCCATCCCATGTAAATGTATTCTTTTTAATTTTCCTTGTTCCTAATCATTCCTACCACCAAAATATGTTTCTCTTGTCACTTCAAAGCAATGTCTCACTAGGGAAGAATATCAATATATATATATATATATATAGGACAACCAAAAAAAATGTTTTTTAWTATGGTGCTGGGGATTATTCAGGGCCTTGCACATGCTAGGCAAGTTCTATACCACTAAGCAACATCTCTTGCTCCACCAAAAAACAATTTTTAAACAGCTTCCATTTTTCTTTTTGAATCTTTTATGAAATCGAAAGCTCTGTAGGTATTGCAGTCTCCTGTTTTTTCAAATATATTTTAGTTTTATTTTGAAAAAAAAATGCTGATGTCCATCTCTAATATTTAAAACAGATTAACTAGAGTTGCCCCAGTCAAATGTCAGTATTCTAGGAAACCATGGTAATGCAGTTTGAACATTACTGTTCTAGTTTATAACCCAACACAAAATCTCAACTAAAGTGATAATCCTTTAGTRTTTTGATTGTTTTATAAAATTCTGACCCTAGAGAATATTTAAATACTAATTCTTCTTTACTTAGATATTTAATTCTGAGGTAAGCCATTTTCTGATGAACTAAATATTACTTATATCCCATTGTTGATATTACTGTACTATACCAGAAACTTATTTTTCTGTTACAATATACAGCTTTCTTATCCAGAACTAGCCTGTCCCTGGTGGCCTTAGGGAAGGCCAGTGAAAATATACCTAATTGTAGTCTCCCTACAGACCGTTTTTTAAAATATTTTTTTAGTTGTTGACAGACCTTTATTTTATTCATTTATTTATATGTGATGTTGAGAATTAAACCCAGTGCCTCACACATATGAGGCAAGCACTCCACCACTGAGCCACAACCCCAACCCCTACAGACCTTTTGACTTAATGCAAGGTTCTCCTTAATCTATACCTTGGTTTATGGAATTCCTAAGCATTGTTTAGTTTTTCCTAGCAATTAGGGTGAAACATTTTTAGTGAGTTATAGATGAACCAGAATCTCAAACTGGGGAAAACAAGCCTTAAATATCATTAGTGTTTCAATATTTGTTTTTAAGCAGCAAAGACTTTTTTTTTTTTTTTTTTAATTGAACTCAGTAACATTCTGCCTCTGAGCTACCTCCCTTTTTAAAAACATTTTATTTTGAGACAGGGTCTTACTAAGTTGTCAAGGCTGACCTTGAACTTGAGATCCTCCTGCCTCAGCCTCTTGAGGAATTGGAATTATTAGTGTATGCCACCATGCCCAGCTAGTCATTTCTTCTAAGGAATTCATTCCAGGAAGCCAAATAAGAGTTTAGAGTAAGTGTGGGGTTGGATTTATTGCCAAACCCCCAGTCTTTAAAACTTATCTCTCACTCCAGTGTATAAATGTAATGAGACCCAGAGAGATCAAATGATTTGCCCAAGAGCAATAGTGAATTGATAATAGGTAGGCCTTGATCTCAGGACTTATGTGCAGCTTCTCCTGACTCTAATCTAGTGGTCCTTTTGCTAACCCACACTGCCAGTTCTATACAAATCCATTTCAAAAATTGTTAAGATGTTTCTTTTCACACTTATCAGCTGAATTATGGACATTAAGAAATAAACAAATGGCATGTAAACATGAGCCTTTATACATGGGTGAGGACCAATTCTTTTTGCTGCTTGCAGGTCACTATGACAAATGTGTGTTCGCCCTTCGGGAAGAGAACAAAAGTGACATGAACACTGTATTGAACTACATTTTCTCTCATGCTCAAGTCACCAAGAAGAATCTTCTGGTCACAATGCTTATTGTGAGTATCATTATTTACAATCAGATGGTTGATAATATGGAAAAAATATGTTTTTCTTCTAGTAGCTATGGTCAGAGGAAAAGATATTGTCTTCTATAATTATGGAATGAATGGAGCTTGGGTTGTAGATTAATAATTTCTCATCTCTACCTTTATCCTTGATCTGAAGGAACCTGCTATTTAGGAAAGAATTGTCCTGGTTATTATGCATATTATGTGCATAAAAATTCACATCTCTATTTAAAAGTGCCATGTGCTTTTCCATTCCTGTTGTCATTATGACAGTAACTTTAAAATCTAGTCTTCTCTAACCAATGTACACTCATTTTAATTCTATTTTTCAATAGATGTAAGCAATCGTTCTAATGTTGAGACCTTAAAAAAAAGAAGTTAGAAATTCAGTACTGGCCCTCCCACCAAAGAAATTGAAATTTTTTTCTGCATCTTCTTTGTTCCCTTTTTGTTTTATTTATGTTAAGAACCTTAGCTGAGATTATTGTATTGGTAGTACGAATTATTTTGTCCCCCATCCTAGGAATATAGGAATTACTAAGTGGGAATAAGGGATGAGACTGGTAAATGTGAATAGGACTAATGTACACTTGACCAGGGGGAAGAAGTCTTTTGGACTTGAGAATTTTTAAAGATGCTTTGCAAGTCCTTAACTCATAGATCTTTCCAGTTGAGTTAATTTTAGGAGAAGACGATTGAGAAGAGGACAACTCTTAAAGAGTTCTCACCCCAAGGTCCTGAACAGTTGCCTTGCTCTTACTTGTTTGTTTTGGGGACTATAGACCTCTTCACTTCCTTGAATTCTGTTTTTGTCCCTGGGAATGGGCATTCTTGGTACTTTAATTCCATCATTTCTTCCTGGAAGGTCACCACAACCCAATAAATCTTGACTGCCATTTTTTATTTTATACTTGAGAATGAAGGGAAACCGTCTTCCTTACATCTCTGGTAAACAGCGTTGTGACTCATTCAGCCATCTGCCTAGCTGATTAACTCTAAAGGATATAAGATTTTTTAGAATAGCTACTTTTTAAAAGTGTATTATTATAGGGAGAGTTTGTTACTTTTGCTATCCTAGAATAGCTAGGTGATGAGGCACTCAGAAGGTGCATTTGAAAACACATATCACTATGTAATATTTTATTTTTTCCAAATGACAGCTTTCAACAAAGACATTATACCAGCAACTTGCTAATATTTTTTTTCTCAATCAAAAGAGGGAAGAAATCTGACTTTTTTTCCTTCAAATTTTAATGCAAGGAATGTTAATTCTCACTTGCATAAGGCCAAGAATTTCTAGAGGCAGGGGATAATGATAAGAGGGTAGAAGAATCTGTCAGTTTGGACCTAAAATGGGGTAGAATTTGCCTTTAAATGAAGCTAATTATGGTGAATGTTTCATCTTATTATGATTACCTTTTTAAGAACGTAACAGTTTTCTGCACTAAAAATAGACCAAAGCCCAGAATCCTTGGAGCAGCAGAAGAGTAATGATCGTCCAGGACTGTCGCTGGGTTTCTTAAATTCTAATTTGTAAGATATAGGGGCTCGGCTCGCTCCTTTTGCGGAGTGATTGTAAGTAACGCTTGCCTTAAGAATCTCATTATTGGAACACGGAGCCATATTTCCTCTGAGAATTCTGGAGTAGCTTTGAGCCGGGGCTGTTCATTTCTCAAGTAATCACGCTGGTGTGATGGAGAGAGAAAATGGCAGCTGTTCGGAGCTCAGGCCTTCAATTTTCTTCAGAGTCCAGTCACTCAAGTGTGTAATTACACGGGGGGTGCTGCAGAGGCGTTGGGCCCTGTCAGAGAACTGGTTTGAGGCTTTGCTTTTTGCTTTTGCCAGTCAGGACAGGCAGAAGCCAATGGGACTCTGGCTTGCTGTTGTTCTTTTTACCCACACCTTGGCATCTGATTACTTCTCACCTGCAGGGATAGTACCCAAACTTTCTTTCCAACAGACTGAGCTCTTTGGAGAAAAGAGATATTTCAGAGCATCTGGGTTTAGATGATAGGGCAGAGGAGAAAAAGGAGATGTTTGTGAAGCGGGAAGCTGGATTTGTCTTTTCTCTGTTTTGACATCTTCACATTTTTCTTTAAAAATAAAACAGGACTCAGTAAGCATAATAGGATCTGTAGGCTTATATATCATTAATTTCCTTTCATATATTTGTTGCTTTTGCCCCATGTCAGAGATTTGAAAATAAAGAAGTTAATTGATTTGATTGAGCTCAAGGCCAGCTAGCAGTGACTTATGGATCAGGGATAAAATCTCAGATGGTATTCCTTTCTGATCTGATATTACTGAATGCCAGGCATGTCTTTCCTTTTTCTTCATTGACAATGGCCAGTGACCCTACCCCCACTCCATCTGCATTGATGGTAATAGCTAGTAAGAGTTTTTTTAGTTGTTAGGATTACTCTTTCTGAAGGTCTTATTGTCTTTTACAGATGTCACTGGAACATGGTAGCATTTCAATTCCCCTAGCTTGAGTTCTCTGCTAGTTCTCCTTTCTTTGCTTACCTTGGCTTCCTGATTGATGATTATGTGCCCCAGCATTCCAATCTCTGCTTTCTAGAAATAGGAATGCTGATGGTGTGCTTTGCTGAGCTAGATGATGATTTCTGGGGCCTTTGAACCTACAGAAAAAGATCAAGAAATCAGGCTGCTCCAGTGAAGAGGGGCCTTTATCCTTTCTAGGATATTAGCATAAGTTGCCTAGTGGTAACTTGTTCCATGGCATCTTGACCAAATTTCTTCTAATCTTTCACCCTATCTGGAAAATAAAAATATCAAGTAAAAGGGTAAAGTTCTGTCCAATTTCCTTTGGATCATTGTACCAAATATGAAAGCAAAGTCTGAAAGACAAACAGTAAATTTTTTTTTAACTTTTTTTTCCCCCACCCCTGGTATTGGATATTGAACCCAGGGTTCTCTATCACTGAGCTATAGCCCCAGCCTTCTTTATTTTTTATTTTGAGACAGGATCTTGCCAAGTTGCCCAGGCTGTCCTTAAACACGTGATCCTCCTGCCTTAGTCACCCAAGTTGCTGGGATTACAAATGGGCATTACTGTGCCTGGTAGTAAATTAACTTTTTGAACGCTCTATTTCTTAAATTTAACCTTATAAATAAAAACTTAGAGTTTAGGATAATAGTGTTTGTGTTTACTTAGAGATATTTAAGGGACTCTTTGGCCAAATTAAATTATCAACATTAAAAATATCAATATTCCCATAGCTGTGTAGATAGCAATGTACATATTGATGCTGAACAAGAAGCCCAGGAAGATTGTCTTTCCGTTAATGCTTATGTCTTATTTCTGATCTGGGCCACATGAACATGCTTCCATATGACTAATGCCATGCATATGAAACTGATTTGGTTTAGACAAGAAGCAAAGATCAGTGCCTTTTCTTATTTCTCATATTATGGCTACATATAATATATCCAATATGTAAGTAAGAAAGAAAATTCTCAGTGGTCTCAATCAAGTTTACTGAATAAGGATGTAGCTAACAATTTATTGTTAAACCCATCCTATAACATCTTTAGAATGTCAAAAAGTTCAATCGTGATTGGAAGAAGTTACCAGTTGCTTGTTGATGTTGGAATTAGGGCAGTAGTTTATGTCTTGAGGGTATTACATATAAGGTCACGTTCTTCCCATTTTGAGTTGCCTTCCTCAGAAGTATTTAATGTCTAAGATGCTAAGATCAAGTTAGGCTCATTTGGGCTTTTCTGTCAAGCTGAATAACTGACTGGTTTTGATAGTTAAGCATATCTATTATATTTTTGCAAATCCAGCATATTCCCCATAGTTAGCAACCAATGACGATGAGAATAAAAATAAGAAATATCTGTGCTGTACCAGTCTTAACTCTTGCTGAATAGTAATTTTCACTTTGGTCTACAGAGTTTTGCAAATGACGTGTAACCCCCAAATCAGCGGGTTGGTTCTTTAAATGATATATTTTATTTTGAGGAAACACATCTGCTCATATAATTGTGCTTTGGTAGTGTTACAAAATGTTTACCAGGATTACATGGTGATGTTGACTTGTTCAGTTGCCCACAGGAACCCTTTGTCTAGGATAGAGGGTCATGAGCTCCTTGAGGATGAGTAGTTATGAACACTGGTGGTTTCTTTCTAGAAAAGAAAGGTCAAGGACAAGTCTTTGGAAAGTTGAGAAAGTTATAGTGTTCAGGCACCAGTCTTTTTCTGAGTATTAATGATGACAGTGGAGAAAAATCATATTTGAATGGAAAACTTCCAAGTCTGGATGAATTAATGTAAGTAGTGGTTTATTCATATTGTGTTGATTTTTTTTCACACATCCCAGAAAGGTCTTGTTTCTCTGCTTTATCACAAGAAGCCCAGGAAGATTGTCAGCCTGTCATCATGAATGAGTAATGACTTTACTTTTAATTTTTCCTAATCTCCATTGTTCACTTTTCTTACAGATACTTTCTTTTTCCGTATCCTTTCTTACTTTCTTTTTTTCATAATGGAAAGATGAAATGAGAAAATGATTTTGTATGTTTTACTTTTTTTTTTTTTTTGTACTGGGGATTGAATCCAGGGAAGTTTTACCACTGAGCTACCCTACTCTTTTTAATTTTTTATTTTGAGACAGGGTCTCACTAAATTACTAAGGTTTGCAATCCTCCTCACTCAGATTCCCAAGTCACTGTGATAACAGATGTGTACCACTGCATCTTTAAAAAAAAAAGAAATTTTTTTAAAGTTGGGACATGATCAATATTTAAGTAAGAGGACAACTTCATTTTTTCCCATTTATTTTAGTTTGTCTTTAAAGTTCAACCCAGATTTCCTTCRATGGAAACTCATTTCTATCAAGTCTGATACAGGTTGGAAAGGTAACTATAGTGTTCTTATTTTGCCACATTGGCTTTGGTTATTAATGTTGAAACTTTGGTCTGGCTATTTGCAGAGTTAGCTGAGTTTTGGTATTGCCCAGGACATACATGTTTTGAGATCTCCTGAGTCGTTCTGATCAATGAAGAAAGTACCTCAGAAAGGATAATGTTTCTCTATTAGGAACAATAAGAAAGGAGGATTTGGATAGGAAAATGGTTTCTGTATCCATTGTTATCTATCTGTTCTTTCCTTCTGTCTGTTTATGGTCTTGTCTCTGGCCATTTATATATATTCCCTTGAAATTCTATTTTGCTTATTAGTTCTCAGCAAAAGATAAGACTTTGTTACATTTTCTCCCCCCTTCTTGCCTTTATGCCTATCTAGGATAGGTGAAACAAGTCCTTTAGTATCTGGCTACATGTTCAACTGAATCCTGGGCTTATCTTTAATAGCAGTTTTTGTTTTTCACACTTATATGGATAAAAACAATATTTGAACTTCCTTAACTATAAATCATGGGTTTTATGACCCTGGACAGTTGGAGCAGATCTCTGGTTAATTATTTAAGGAAGGAGAATTCCATGTTCTGAATCATTTTTTTTTTACACACACAAAAAAAGTTGGAGAAATCTTCTCARCATAATAGGATTAAGTATTCTAAAAGCATCTTTTTCATTATGTAAAACATAATAGGGTTTTTGGAAAATTTTGGGACATGCATGTCTGCTCCAAAGGCCAAAGTTCTATGCTTTTTTAATACTGTTGTGATAAAGTACTAATCAGAATACCCCTAAGGTGGGGAAGGATGAGTATGAAATAGAGATTCTTGAAGAAAAGGGATGATGGGAGGTGGCAGAGGGATGAAAAACCAGTAACAGGATGGAGAATGTCCCAGTAGTAGGCACTTGCACAAGGCCCTGAATTAATTCCCAGCTCTGAAGGAAAAAAAAAAAAGTCTTTCATGTCTTCTTGATAGTAGTAGAAGAGTTCTAAAACATAAATGTAATCACTTTAAAGTCCACGCAGAAGGAACAAAATTTATATGTGTTGTATTAAGAAATGCTACACCATAATTTTGTAAAATCCAAAAGGCAGACATTTATAAAAGCAGCATCCTTAGTTTTTTCAGCTTTGATGAAAATAACATGGATAATGGATGAATTTTGGGAATAAACTGATATTCTACTGGTTTCCAGTGGAAATATTTCAGAATATAATAGGGATTTTTTTCCTTAACCTTTTATAATTTTTAGAGGGGAGGATCCTATACCGAATAAACTGAATCTAGTCCAGCTAAGAATTCACCATATTTAAATTCATGGAATGATTATTGGTTCAAGAACAGGATACCTGATTTTGAATGCAGAATTGCCAGAATACGAGATGATGTTTTTAGTTAGCATGTGTTTATAAATGAATAATTTGTTCTTGTGTTTCTGTTTTGCATCCTTGGGATGGGGGCAGGGGGCTGAACATTTGGTTTGTGGAATTAGAACTACCAGGATGGTACCTTTTGCTTTATCCTACCTTCTTTTCCAAAATGAGAGAGGAAATAGAAAGGTCTTTAGTCTCTACATTATTTAAAACCTCTTGAAACTTTGAGACATCATTTGTTGTTTCTTATTCAGAATCCCCTTGACCTCTTTGAGTGGTCTCTGATGAATTCTTCTGCATATTAAAATTATGATGTTAATTTATAAAGAAATACATTAAGAATTTTGAATCTGAATGATTGTGAGATTTGGGTTGCTTCTCCTTAGGAGCAACTTCCTTTGGGTTAATCTTTACCACATTATTTAGGATAAAAATAATAGGGAGTTTGCATTTTATTAATCCAATTTTGTTTTCATTCCTTTATTTCAAAGTCCTGTCCACTGAGGTTCCTTTTTTATTTAATGTAGATGTTCATGTTCTTTTTTACAATAATAATTAGGATCAGTTGTGTGGTCGGGACCCTACTCTCACTGATGAGCTGCTGAATATCCTCACAGAGTTAACTCAACTGAGTAAGACCACCAATGCTAAAGTAGCACTTCGGGCACGCCAGGTAAGGACAATTGTGGTTTATCTTAAAGGAGGGATAGTTTTCATAGTTTGGGCAGTTTTAGAAACAATTAGCTTTTACTCAGTAACCTTACAAAGATCATGCAATTTTCTGTGTATGTCACATGCCCTTAGACCAATGTTTTCATGTGGTATATGTTTTTTTAAAGAGAAAGGAAAGGATTTATGTTGACTGTCTAAAATAGGATTCCTTTTCCCATTATAAAATCCTGGTGTTGTTCCCCAACCCCCTAGTAGCCCTATGATAGTAAACCAGGGTCAGGAGGAGAGAAAGAAACTGGGGGAAGGAAATCAATATTTCTTACTTCCCAAAGGGAGCTTAGAAGCAGATGAGAACTTTTAAGTGCATAAGAAATAATCAAGTGTGGAAAGCAGAAAGATAATGAAATGAATCTTAGGCACCAGCAATCAGAACAACCCCAGAGAAGTCCAGTTAGCTTCACCCTGAAGTGTTCATTTCCATTCCAAAAGGTTTCAGCGGGGAAGCAGAAAGTTGGTGCTCCCTTTTGTGTTTCATTGCTGGGCATTGACAAGGAAGCAGCATTTGAAGCTGTTCAGTGACCTTCTGCTTTCTCTACAATTGTATCCATGTCACTGAACTACTCAAAGTTATTGAACCTCTCAGTGACCTGCTGAGGGTATTCAGGTCCTACCGTGTCCCTGTTTGTTTGTGACACTGCTTTCACTCTCTCTGCCCCTCACATGCATTGGTGTTACTTCCTGATACCTTCTCCTTGGTGCTGAGTACCTGGGGCTGTCAAAGCAGCTTTTCCTAGTCTTTCTGCTTCGAGTTGCTAAAGGCTAGATATGCTGCATCTACCTTCCCCACAGCTGCTCCCTGCCAGACCTGATTCCCAATTAACAGCTAGTCATGCAGTCCCCAGGACTAGCAGCTTTGCAATGGTAAATCACATGCACTGATGGAACTTGATTGAAGCTGTTTTCTCTCCCTTCCCCCGACCCCCCATGGGAAATTGCCCACAACGCAAATCATGGTGAGAGTCAACTAAGATTCAGTATTTGGTGGCATTGACTTTATGTTACAGGACCTAGAAGTTGTTTTACTCAGTCTCTGTTTTATCTTTGATGCCTGCACTTACAGATTTATATTTATTGCTTTTGTATCAGAGCTACCTAATAGGAGCCTAGAATAATCACTCCCTCAGGAACTTATGCCTCTTATTTTGTTCTCACTCAAGGTTCTTATTGCCTCCCATTTGCCATCATATGAACTTCGCCATAACCAAGTAGAGTCTATCTTCTTATCGGCTATTGACATGTATGGACATCAGTTTTGCATCGAGAACCTGCAGGTATATATAATAACTTTCTTACCACTATGCACTCTTGTCCCCTTTATTCACAAGCATAGTTCAATTAGGTAATGGATCAATCAGTTTTGATTTTCTATGTAATGAAATTTCATACCTTGACTTTTAAAAATCATTTATACTTATAAATATTTTTTCATAAAAATGCCATTAGATTAAAAATGGTTTAGCTTAATAGGCCTGCCTTGTGTCCTATTAAAATCTTTATCTCTTGTCCTTTTACCTAGAAAGTATTCTAGGTCAGAATTAAGTGGTAACATTGTTTGATTTCTGATATTTGAGTCATATGTATACATAGATGGTTGTTACTCTTGAGACAAAGCTATTTAAATATCATTTAATTTTAATTTTATTTTAATGCTTACCATTAAGCTATATAAAGAGCCAATTTTGTAAGAGATTATTGGCTAATTTTACTACTAATTGGAAGGCCTTTACTATTTTTTAAACAACATCATTTTTCCTGGAGTGACTTCTATTTTTCTACTTAGAAGCTAAGATACTGTTAAATTATATCTGATCAAAGGAATCTTTAGAATTTGTGTAAGATTTCCTCCTGGAGAACCTAGAGAAGAAAAAGATTGTTTTCCTATTTGATTCATAGTTGAAATCTAGGGTTTCAATGGTGTTCAAATTTAGGCTTTACCATAGTGAGGCATTGAGACAATATTTAGGAAGTGAAATACAGATAGATATGTGTCAGAAAGAATAGTAATAGTTATAGACACCTATATTATCTTACAACTAATGCTTTTAGTATATTATTCTAAGAGTTTCATATATGTTAACCCATATAATGTTCTCAACAGCCCTATAAGGATCTTAAGTAGTATTTTTCTCATTTTGTCCCTGAGGAAACTGAGACTCAGAGAGGTTTATGTTCATACATAGCATTCATAGACAGAATTTTTAGGTTTCACTAAATGCTTCAAATGCTAAATATTGTTTACTGAAATTGTTCACTTTTGGATGTAAGGGGTTAAGCATGTCTTTGTACCTTCTAGAAACTCATCCTATCTGAAACATCTATTTTTGATGTCCTACCAAACTTCTTCTATCATAGCAACCAGGTAGTGAGGATGGCAGCTCTGGAGGTGAGTGTTCATGGTCCTTTGACAGATCTCCTCCTTGGTTTCTAGCTGATGTCTTCTGTTTGTTTGACTATCARGACAGTTCTTTTTCACTTTCCCTACCATTGAGCTACACTCCCACTTCATAGGGTTGATTCTTAAGGGTCCTCTTTTCCTCTGAAAAAAGTACTTGGTGCTCAAGCATTTCATCTGAACTAATCACCTGTTTCTGGTGATTTCCAGCCACTGGAAAATAGCAGCAGCACTTTTTAGTAGTCTTTATTTTCCAGGTATTTGAATTCTCCCATTTCATAATGAATTAGGATTCCCCACAACACAATAAGTGAAAGAATATATGTGGCTGATCAAAATGTGATAACTTTATCATTTTGTGATTTGAGCCAAATTAAAATGCATTTAGTTATATTTTTAATTATTAAACAGCTCTTATAAAATATTGCCTCASAGGAAAGAAAGAAATAGCATTTAATAGAGTGTAGTGTATTTTTTTTTTCTCATTTACATTTATTTAATAAAACAAAGTGAAACTCTGAGAGGTTATGTGACTTGTCCAAAAATCACAAGTGGAGGCGTTTGCATTTGAACTCAGGTCAATCTGACTGCACACACTTTTCTGTTTCCACTAGAGTACACTTCTACCTCATTAAGTACAAAAATTGCAAGCTMTGAATACTACCTTAAAATTGCCAAGTGGATATTTTTAAGCTGGGAAAAGGAGCATTTTAGATGATTTTATGTAATAAAACATCATCATAGAGTGGTACTAGCTCTTTTTATTTGTATTGTGGGTAAAATGTAAACTCTACTTCTCAGTAAATAAAAGAGACTTGAAATATCTAAGTGTTTTTTTCAGGGCTTTCATATCACTTAATGAGAAGCCTCCTTTCATGCCTCAGATGATGACAGAATCCCATGTAGCATTTTATGTGCATGGCAAATTGAATGTACATGAGGATGGACTGTTTTTGCTGAGATGTAGTCTGTTGCTGTTGTCTTTAACTCTTAAGTTAGTGTGTTTGAGATATTAAATGTCAAATTATACCTCATTGCTTTTGCCTAAAGTTGAGAATCTAAATAATCCAAAATTGATATGGGGCAGTAGGGTAAAACAAAACAAAACAAAYGAACAAACAAAAAACCAAGATATTTGATAGTAAAAGAGTTGAGCTGTACTGTACCTGCTTCCATCTTCTATCTTCACTCCTATGTAGCACAGAATGAACACCTCTTATTTTTGTCACTGCTTGCTTTTGTCTTCTGTTGAAATGATCATGCTTAATAAATTAGTAGTCATGATTCTATAATGCTCTTAAAGATCAAACCTTCTCCAGAATTTAGGTTAGTGTGAAAGGTTTACCAGGCACTTAGAGGTGTCCAGCAGAGGCAACCAACTTTTATTTTCATTTATATTCATGGATATAGTTTTAAAATTCCATCTTTATTAATTAAAGCAAGTATGTTTGTATAGACTCTTTGGACCTGTCTCGCCACAGGCCACCACCTTCTTCATAACCTTCTTCTTTTTCAAGACTCTCTTTTTTTTGGCTTAGCCATTCTCTTTATTTCTATTTTTGAAGTTTATTTACAGAGGATTACTTTTTGCCAGGTGTATGTTCGAAGGGCTTACATTGCCTATGAACTTAACAGCGTACAACACCGCCAGCTTAAGGACAACACCTGTGTGGTGGAGTTTCAGTTCATGCTGCCCACATCACATCCAAACAGGTGAGTTTGAGTTGGTATGTGTGCCTAAGCCAGCCGGAGGCCTATCAGGAGAGTTAGAGGAGCAATGAGTATGGCAGTTCCATTGTTATTTTTTAGCCAGAAATTTAGAGTGAAAAATGAACAGATTTGAACAGATTTGTTGCCTATTCTAGTTAAGATAAAAGTTTAGGATTACTCCATTCATTCTTGCTTGTATTATGTCATTGAAGAAATAATTCTTTCCTTTTTTTTTTTCTTTTTACTAGTATATTCTTGTTGGAGCTTTTCCAGAAAAATCACAAAAATATACCTTGAGTGGAATTGCTTTGCCTTTTTATATGTTTGCTATGGGTCAAAGTTGTACCAGAGCCAGTTTTATTTTATCCCCTAAAAATACCTGAATTTAGCAGTGTAATCCCATCAGTTTTTAATGAAATCACACTTCAGAACCAAACTTAATTGGCCATGCTAATTCTGTTACTCTTCCCTTCTGATGACCTTTAAAATGTACATATGAACATTTGTTTTGGTATTTCTTTGTTTTTAAAATTAAAATACTTATTTGTCTTATCCCTCATTCTTAAAAACTATACCTAGATATTTTTAACTCCACATACATATGCTTATCCCTTCCTGTAGTTTCTTTTCTTTTTTTTTTTTTTCAGTAATGCCACAGGAAATATAAATACACAGCCAATTTTAACCTGCCCCTCTTCATTTCTTCTTTATGGCCTTTGGTTCTTCGCTTGGTATTACAAAGTACGATGTCTTTGGGGATCCTTAGTTATAGACACCAGAAATGGTTTTGTTCTGAATTGCCACTTCACCCAAAGCAATAGAGCCTTTCTGGAGACAAAGAAGTCTGTGCTGAGACTTTTGGCCACTGGATGCCACTGTTGATCCAGCAGAGATCAGCAGATGAGCAGAGGCATCTTCAGAAAAGTATCTCTCTTCTTTGTCTCAGAAGATCCTTTTACTTCTCTACCTCAGAAATGCCTTATGGCTGGCAGAGAAAAGCATATATCCTTGATTTAGCAAGCATCTCTCGGTACATTTTTGCCTCCATGGATTTCAGAATCTCATTTTCTAGAAACGAATGGTTGTCCTTCAGCGAGCCGGGAAGTACTCATGGCACACATGGGCTCAGCACTCAGTCTTCTTTCTTTTCCTGCATTCCTTGAATAATTGTAGAGAACTACATGCTATACTAATGCTCTTTATAATTCTCAAGACAATCTCCTTTTCTTCCTGCTTTCTATTGCCTCTTCCCTTTGGGCAGTGATTTGTAGTCAGCCTGCAGGGCCGCCTCTGATTTCCTTCCCTCCTCATTGCTCCCCTGTCTTTCTGAATTGTACTCCCTGTCTTACTTTTTTTATTTGAGACTGTGTGTCCAGCTTGGTGAGGAAAAGTTGACTAAAAAATGAAGGAAATTCTTAAGCACTTTGTTAAAAAAAATCTTATCTTTGCACATCAAGAGTATGAATTTCATCCTGATATGGTTTCAAAACATATATCCTCATCCCTCACATCTGGGATGTACACACCCTATGGATAAAGACCAGACTTAATCAATCCTGTTTTCTGTAGTCTCTAAAGTCTTCCCTGGTTAGTTTTGTGATTTTATTTTTCTTTTTTGAGGGAAGGGTACTGGGGATTGAACCCAGGGGTGCTTCACCACTGATCTACATCTCCAGCTTTATTTTATTTTCTAATTTTAAGACAGGATCTCACTAAATTACTGAAGCTGACCTTGAACTTGTAATCCTCCTGCATCAGCCTCCCACTGGCAAATGTTAGTAATTTTAAAGCTGCTGGAATATTATCATTATCATTATTATTTATGTAGGTGTGAAGGTAAAGATAAATGCAAAATAAGAAAAGGTAAAATAATCTTTTTGAAAGCCAGAAAAGTCTTAAAATTGCTTTAATCCTATTTTTTTTGTTTTGTTTTTTAAGATCTGTAGTATTTTTGGTAATTTAGGATCAGRTAATCAGATTTGATCAGAAAATAATATACCCCATTGGGAGATTACAGCAGGAAGATCACAGGTTCAAAGCCAGCCTCAGCAGTTAAGTGAGGCCCTCAGCAACTTAGCAAGACTCTGTCTCAAAATTAAAAAATAAAAAGGGCTGGGAATGTGATGTGGCTTGGTGGTAAAGCATCCCTGAGTTCAATTCCCCAGTACCCTCCCCCGCAAATATATATATATCGAGTTTTAAAGGATAGTTTATTCAGACAGTTAGTACAGATTTGCTGTTTGAATTTAGTTTTCTAAGACTCTGTATTTGCTTGCAAATACAATTTAGAGTTAGATCACATGCCACAAGTTAAGGGCTCAGTTTCTACAAAGCTGCCCAAAGTTCAAAGGATCCACAAGTTGAGTTCCCTAGTCACCTACACTTTTAACCAACTGGCTACAAAGATGGGGGTTCCCATAATCCCCCCAATTCAGTAATTCCCTAGAATAACATAACTTTAAACCTTATCATTTTATTATGGAGATTATATAGTTCAGGACCAAATGAATGAAGAGATACACAGGAGGAAGTCTGGGTTGGGGGGATCCTCAAACACAGCCWTCTTGTTCTTTATGGAATCAGAATGCATCACCTTCTCAGTACATCTATGTGTTCATTGACGAAGAAGCTCCGTGGAAATTCAATGTCAAGTTTTTATCAAGATTTAATTTCATAGGCATGATTGATTAAGTCATGGTCTACATGATTAAACTCAAATCTCCCCTCCCAGAGGTCAGGCTGACTCAAAGTCCCAACCCTCTAATCACATACTTGGTCTTTCTAGTGACCAGCTACCATTCTGGGTCAGCTGATCTCATCTGTTAGCATATACTCATGTGTGATTCCAAGAAGCTTATGGATAACAAAGACACTTAGAAATTCTAARTGTTTAGAGTCTCTCTCCCAGTAACCAAGGAAAAAGACCAAATTCCTTATCATATTAATGTATCTACTCACTTTTAAAAAGGTTTAGTTACTTYTGAATAAAGTACTTTTCTATTTTTACAACTCCATTTTTTCCACCTTTTTTATTGGTGCATTACAGTTGGACATAATTGTGGGATTTGTTATTACATATTAGTATGCTCACACAACATAACAATAGAATTTGGCCAGTTTGGCTCCCTAGCACTTCCTTCCTCCCTCCCCACCTCCTACTCCTATTCTTTTCCTCTGTTCTACTGCTCTCTGATTTTCATAAGATTCCCCCACATTTCTTTTCCTTTTTCCTCTTTAGCTCCCACATATGCCAATTCCATTTTTTTTATTCCTTTTTATTCTAATGAGTCTTGGAATTATTTGAAGAGTATTTTGAAAATACATGTATTAGGATCCTGGCTGCCAAGGTCTGATTCATTTTGTATTAGAGTTCATGTGACCACTTTTTTGCAGAACACCTTTAATAATTCTGAGAACACTGTAATTGAGAATTCACAACTTCTAGACCAACACTGTCCAGTAGAAATCTAATGCAAGCCATATATGTAATTTTAAATTTTCTATTGACCACATTTAAAAGAGTAAAAGAAACATCATTAATTTTAATAGCATTTATTTAACCCAATATATACAAAACACCATTTCAGTATAAAGTAAAAATGATCAATGAGATATTTTATACATAATTTATACCATATCTCAGTACAGTCACATGGCTAGTTACTGCCATGTTGCTCTGCTCAAATCTAGACCAAAAATTAATTAGGGCAATCACATTGAGTCTTCTGTTTTGTTAATGGTAGAAGAGGGAAAAAACAAACAAACAAATAAAAAACCCTCTTATTCTTGCTTGTCTTGGTAGTTATAGGAATTATCCAACCTAATACTATTAGTTACTATACTGCATGTTTTAAAAATTATTTTGTGAGAATAAGAGAACAAGCATCTAAAGAATTTTCCTGAAAAAATACTCTGCTCCTGTCAGTTTGCTGATAGAAAGCTATATTTCATCCCAACCCATGGGGATTAAATAAATAGCCAAAAACAAATGACAAAACTGGAATTCCACCAGGTGACCCCATACAGAGTAAGAGATTGTCATCTTGCTTTCACATTACAGCTTACAAAGATACTTCTAATGACAAATTTCGTCTACTTCAAATGAACACCTAGCTAGGAATGTGAAGATCAACTGCCAGAAAGGATGATGCTAAAAAGTTGGTTAAAAAATTGTACTCTTTCTAAAGAATGTTTGGTCTGTTAACTCCAACTGAGAAAAATACTATAATCTGTTTTGTAGATTAGATGCCTTTTGGACAAAAGACCTATATCTCATTAGTACCTGTTTCAATTTTTAAAGAAGTAATCAAAATACATTTGCAAATGAGTATGGCAGCTCTAAGAAGGTAGAAGATAACCAACCTCCTTTTAGCACATTCAGGCAATTACTGTGTAGCCAGCATGTTTGGAACCTTTTTATTTTAATAATCTATGGTAGGACTTTATGTTACTTTATATTTTTTTTTGTATACTTTGTATTTTTTTCTAGCATTTCTCTCAATATTTTCTTAAAAGGCTGATTATTAGCTTATTTTTAATCTCTATAACTCCCTCCTCCTCCTCCTCCTCCTCCTCCTCCTCCTCCTCCTTCTTCTTGCTAGGCATTCTTCTGTCAGAGTATGTTATCTTCTTGACCTTCTACCCCAAGACTTTAAATTTTTTTTTTTCTGGGAACTATAGTTAATAACCTATCTGGTATTCCTGGGTATTCTTCATCAGAGGATCCTATCAGAACTTCACTCAGGGAAGCTCCTGGTCTGKATTTATCCACCTCTTCCTAAATTCCCTTCACTTGAACAGCAGTGTAAGAATTGTTAGAAACCTGGGCTGGTGGTGTAGCTCAGTGGTAGAGCACTTGCCTAGCATGTGTGAGGCCTTGGGTTACAATTCTTAGCGCCTGTCTGAAGGAGAAAGAATAATATGGGCTGGGGTTGTGGCTCAGCGGTAGAACATTGGATCCTCAACACCACATAAAAATAAATAAATAAACAAAATAAAGGTAT